CAAAAAGGTTAAGGGGGGGGGAAAAAAAAAAACTGAAAAAAAAAAAAAAAAAAAATCGTTTTTCGTCAAAAAAAAAAAAAAAAATGAAAAAAGCAAATCCATTAACCGTTTTTGATTTGAATTTCTTTTTTTTTTTTAAATTCATCCATTTTTAGTGGCATCGATTATCATGATGAAATGGCTGTGTCATTAATTGATTCTTTCAAAATTGTGGACCTTATTATTTTGCCTAATGCAGTGAGTTCTTTGTTCACAATTCTCACCATGATCCAGACATTCATTCATTCATTTTTTAATTCAATGAAACAGACCATTATAGAGTTTTTCGTTTTTTGTTGTTCTCGAGGCAAAATTTTCTATCAATCACCAATGATATGAATTTTGTTAGGTTCACCGATAATGGAATAATCAAATCAAACAGAAAACAAAAATGTCAAATTATCGAGGCTTTTTTTTTTGGTTGAAAAAAAAAACATAGGTTCGGCATCTTTTTATCGTTTTCTCCCATTCATTCATTCATTCATTCATTCAGGGTTAAAATAGAATTAGTCAATTAATTAACCCTCGTAATCATTGTTAGCAATCTTTTTTTTCACTATGATTTTTTTGTGCTTTGATCAAGATATTTCAAGAGAAAAGATACACAATCGATTTGCTTTGGTGTGTGTGGGAAGTGATGGTTTTTAAGTTTTTTTTTGGGTTTTTTTCAAGTTTTGTTTGAATGCAAAAAACCAAAAAAAAACATACACAGGTATGCCTTAACTTACCTTTTCCTGTTGTTGCATTTGTTTCATAAGAATGCTACGTTTTTTATCTTTACATCGTTTATTTTGAAACCTAAATTTTTTTCGAGAGAAAATAGAATCGAATCAAAATATTAGCAAATGGAGATGCGAAAGATGTTTGTTTGTTTGTTTGTTTGTTGTTTGAAAGCTTACTTACCATACACGAATAACACGTGGTGATAGGCCAGTCATTTCAACTAATTGTTCTTTCATTAATGCATCTGGACGTGGATTAGCATTATAACAAGAACGTAATGTATGTAATTGTTTTTCATTTAAAACAGTACGAACACGTGTTGGTTTATGATCAGGATTTTTATTCGAACTATTATGATGATGATGATGTGACATTGATGATGATGATGATGATGATCGATGTGATGATCGATGATGGCCACCACCACCATTATGATGAGAATGATGACCACTTGAAGAATTTGTTGTTGATGATGAATTTGTATTGTTTGATTGATTTACATTATTTGACGATGGTGGTGGTGGTAATGATAGAGGTGGTGGTGGTGGCTGTTGTATAGTATTTGAAGATGATATTGTTGACAATGATGATGATGATGGCGGTGTCATTGATCCTGATGACATTGATGATGTTAATGGTGGATCCATATGAACAGCTATAATTATAACAATGTGATTGAATTAAGAATTGAGAAAAAAGAAAAGAATTGTTGAATTTTGTTTTGTTTTTCAAGTGATAATTATTATTATTATTATCAAAGACAATATGGTTAAAGTGGCCACTTGATTGTCGGAAAGAAGAAAAATCCTGGGAAAATCAAACAACAACAACAACAACAAAAAAAACTTACCGCCTGATAATGATGAAGAAAGATGTGTAGGTGCACCGGCGCCACCACTTGGTGATATATTGCTACTATTCATATGGCCATTTAGATCACCACCTGGACCTGGTATTATACCGGCCGGATGTAAAGGCATCGATGGTTGTTGTTGTTGTTGTGATTGTGATTGTTGTTGATGATGATGCATTGAATTTAATGAAGCTCTTGTTGGTGATCCTGGACCACCAACACTACCAAGACCTAATAATTGGCTAGCAGCACTAACATTATTTTCTTTTAAACATTCAGGTGTCACAGGTGTTAAAGGCGTTAATGATAATGATGATGTTGATGATGACGAAGAAGAAGAAGAAGATGATGATGATGATGACGATGATGATGATGTTGTTGATGATAATGAATGATTGGATGTGGACAAACCATTTGGATGATTTTGAGGTGTTGGTGGTGGTGGGGGTGGTTGATGATGATGAACTAATGGAATTTGTTGTTGACGATGATGTAATGTAGAGTGTGACGGCGGTGGTGGTGGTCCACCAATAAAATGACCATGTGGATGCAGATGATGATGATGATGATGCAATGGTGGCGGGGGAGGTGGTGGTGGTGCCAACAACGATGGATGATGACCACTTAAAATAGTAACAATATCATTATTTGAATGAAAATTAATTCCAGAAGCTTTTTCCGCTACTTCATGATCAGCCTATAGTGATGGATTTGATATGACAAGAACAGAATGTAAAATATTAACACTTGATAAGATGAACAACAGAAAAACAAAAAAATATCTTTCCGATATACATACTTTACAGAAAAGATCATCAAATTTCAGTACAAATTCATCGCCACGTGTTAATTGTCTGGCACAAACAGCACAACGAAAACATTCCACATGATAGATTTTATTACGTGCACGCATTACTAAATCTGTTTTACTAAAACACATTGAACATTTTGCACATTTGGCGCCAAATAACCTAAAAAAAATAAAAAATGAAACAAGAAAAACGATAGCGAACAATGAAAAAACCAATATATGTAAACAAACATGATATTTTACAGAACTGTTTTCTTTCAAATTTAAAAGAAAAATTAACAAAAAAAAACCAGAAAAAAACAATAAATCTTTGATGATACAAAACAGACATCATCATTGATTCATCATTGATTGGTCGATCGATAGAAACATTAACATCAAGAATATCGATATTATGTTGATGTTATTCCGGTTATTGACTATCGACGACATTTTTTATCATCATCAGCTGCTACATTATCAGATGTCGACCACTGTCGCCATTTATTATCATATGCAATGATTTCGACACCGATAAACGTGGCGGTAACTTTTCTTTTTCTTTTTTTTAACATCACTCTCCAAATGATAAGCCTAGTGTCTGTTTGTTTGTGATTTGTTTGATGTATTCCGTCGTAGAGAAATACGATGATTTCAAACAAACGAAAAAAAAGGTATACCTTGAATTTTTGATTTTGGCTAGCTAGCTATCCAGCATCAGCAGTCACGAAAAAACATTTGGAACATTTCAAAAACACACACACACGCACTCGAAAATGATGAACAAAGAATCTTCTTCACTTTTTTTTCTGTTGGTTGAAATGATTGAAGTGTATAGGTAAACAAAATCATAGCAGTCTTTTTTTTGCCAAGGAAAAGTAAACAAATCCAAGTCAAATACAGAGCAGGATTTCATTTTAGAAAAAAAAATTGAAAATTTAGAAATTTTTCTCATTTCGTGTGTGATGTGTGTGTGTTTTCTTCTCGAAACTAACCAGGAGAAAAAAAACCGAAAAAAAAACCGTTGAAACCCTAGGCTAATATTATGGGTAAACTTTTCCAGCGAAAAAAAAATCCGAAAAAAAACAGTCAAGACGACGACGACGATGATGATGATAACATGCTATCGAAATGTCATCAATCTCTGTAATAGATCTCTGAAGAAGAAGAAGAAAAAAAATTGTCTCGTCTTTTTTTTTGGCTTGATAACTGACCAATGTCCATCCATTGGTGTTATCATCATCGTTAAGACTTTTTCTTGATGGCAACAAAAAAAAAAAAGATCAGTGATCTGCTGTGTGCTGTTATCGATTTGAGAATTTCAAAAACAAAAAATTTTCAATACAATTCTTGCTTACCTAAGATAATCTCGTTTGCAATAAGTTTTACCATCACGTACAAAACAGGTACATGATTCATCCAAATATTGTTGACAATCAGCACATTTTAAACAGCTTGCATGCCATTCAAGATCAGGTGATACACGTAATATATATTGATCATATATTTCTGAACCACAACCAACACATAATGATATTCTTTCGGTAGCCGATATTTCGGCTACAGTTGATGTTGTTGATGGCCATTTGCCTATCATTTTTTTTTCGTTGGAAATGAATTTAAATTTCGGCAATGAAATTTTGATTTTTGATTTTTTGATTTTTGATTTTACGGGTTATTATCAACCGGTCGATGCCCGTGGCAACGATTTCAATGACATTTGAATAATTTTTAAACGAATGAGAAGGGTAAAAAATCAATTTTGACTATTTTGACAATCGGATGATTTTTTTTTCTATTTTTGATTAAGCTTACGTGATGATAATTCGGTTAATTCTGTCGATGATGATGATGATGATGAAGAAGTTGACTGTATCGATGTCGATGTCGATGATGATGATTCCGTTTTGATTGGCATTGATGTAGCAACAGCCATTTGACAAAGAATCAAACACAGAATTTTAAAACTTTTAAAATTACAATTTCACAAAACAAACACAAACACCCACACCACATACACTACCACATCGAGATTTTCAATGGTAAAAATTTTGACAATAAAAACAAAACGAAAAAATAACAATTTCAAATTGGTCAAAATATATTTTTCATGAGAATCCGATGATGATTTAGATGAAATTTTTTGGGCTTTTTTGTTTGATGAATAGGATTCTCTGGTTCTGGTTATGTACACACTGTGTGTTATCATTATGTGACGAACACTGTGTGTGTGTATGTGAATTTTTGTGTTTTTGAAAATATCGTGCCACAAAAAAAAAGAAGAAAAATGCGGTCGACGTTGTTGTTGCTATTTGAAATATCGTCGTGTGTTATATTTTTAACAAACATGCGTGTTATATTGATAACAACAACAACAACAGGCCATTACCACTTCCATTATATAAAACTAATATTGACTGTATTATTCAAGTCCCACCTACAAATCATTGATTCAACCAATCATAATTCAGAACAATGTTTATAGTTATTTGTGATTGGTTAAAAATTTTTGAATAGTTACAGCCTACTTCTGATATTATTATCATTTCTCACATTATACAACACATTCATTCTCTTTACAGCCATCCTGCCATCATCATCATCAGTGTTATTGAATTACATTGAAAGCAGTAGCTGTAAAAAAAAGATGTTTTAAAAATATTGTGCAATAACGTTTGACGACAAACTAGAAATGGCAAATAATTTTGGAAGAAAAAAATCTTTGCACCCAGTAATTTCATCTATGTCTAAAATGTAAAAAAAAGGAGCCAAACAAAATAACAAACCTTTTGGCGTCTAACCAAAATTAAACAGAATCTTACTCCTTCTTGTTTTTTGCTTTTTCGATGATTGTTTGGTTAATACTGATTACGAAATGAACAAAGTACAAAAACAAACGTTACAGTTTTTTCAATTTTATATGAGATAGTGGGAGGATGTCAACCTGTTTTTTTTTGCAAAATACTGGTTGTCGTTTCGAATATTAAAACGATGATGGTCCATAAAGGCCGGTTTTTTTTTCTCGAAAGATCTGGAATCGTTCGGGAAATCAAGAATGATATTGGAGAGAGAGATGAATTAATTCATCGTATATAATTCAATTAAATGACTGATCTAAAATGGTTCACTGAATCGATGACATACTTGGTCTTGGTTCGGTTTGGTTTGGTTGAATGATTCGGAAACAGATGACATTTTTTTTGGTTTGGTTTGGTTTGGTAGAATCCTAACCAAGAACCGAAAAAAAAGATGTAGAAAAATTCATCAATGAAACCATCATTTTTCAATATCAATTTTCTAGCTGATGAAACAACAAAAAAAGAAAGACAAATACTCTTGGTGAATGTCTCGGGAAAACGAGAGCAGAAAAAAAAATTTCCAAGTAAAAAATTCATGACAGATTTCAAATCAAATATGAAAAGTCAAACATTCATGATTCATTCACAACAAATATTTTTTCAAGTCAAAGTAGAGTCAAAAATTATTAACATTATTTGATTGATCCAGTCAACAAGTCATGTTCATCGGTCAAGTGTCTCTGTGTATGGATGGATCAACAAAGACAGATGTCATCATCATCATCATCATTGTTCATTGTTCTCATCAGGTAAATTCAATTGGTTTCAAATTCACTAAGTGGAATGGAACAACAACAACAAAAAAGGCATGGCATGATGAAAAAGATTCAACAACAAGACAAGACAAGATAACAAAATGATTGAACAACAACAAAAAAAAAGGTGATGATAATGATGATGGAATTTCAACACAAAACATAGCACACAGCACGAGACTTATTGTCAGGTATGAGAACGAAAGAAAAGCTGGAAAAAAGTAAAGAAAAGTTAGAAAAGCAAAGATAAAAAATCAGTTTTTCCCATTGTGTTAACGTTATCAAAATATTTACCTGGATTGAATAATATTTTGGAAAGATTTTTTTTTCTCTCTGGTTTTTTCAAGAGAAAAAAAAATCTTTTCAAAAAAATTGATAATCGATGAATGAATGAACAATGATAAGGTTTTGTGGTAAAATCTTTTTCAATCTCCTGCTGTAGTTTTGGAAATTGTCTGGTTTTTTTTTTGGAATGGGAAGATTTTCTTTTTTTGAGAAAAAACAAAATTTGAAAAAAGAAGATCTGTAAAATGGTGGTTAATCCTTGTTGGTTAGTTGGTCAGTTGATTGTTAGTTAAATAGCCTGGTTGTCTTGTCTTGTTTTGTTTTGCTTCTTGATCCATAGACATGGTCATATTGTCTAGGTTTTTTTTTGGATTTGTTGTTGTCAACGATGATGATTGAATTGTCAAACATTGTTTTTTTTTCTTTTCTTTATTATCGATCAGGACAAGACACAATTGATTCACGATTGCTTATCATAATAATAATCTTATCATTACATAAAGTAGATAGGGTCATCATGTTTCAGGCAATCAAGGACAAGGATTTCTTTGTTGTGAATTGAACAAAAAAATTCGACATATGGATGCATGTTTAGTTTGGTTGATTAGTTGATTTGAAAAAAAATGATTGAATCAACCAGAAAAAAAATGTGACAAGTGAAAATTCTGACATGACTTTATGGCTTTCTTTCTTTTTTTTCAAAACATTCAAATAGAGTGGTTGGTTGGTTGATTGGTTGGCTGGTTATTTGATGGTGACTAGATTGGGATGGATATATACCAGCAGTGATTCATAGTGAATTCAATATTCTCAATGTTGACAAGCGAACCATGAATAGGATTCATTCATTTGGGTGTTTTTTTTTCGGTATTGAATTCATTCAGCAAAGAAAACAATCATCAAGATTGAATTGAATCGAAAGAGAGAAAGAATAATAATTTATATTCATCATCATCATAAAGTGTCAAATAAACAGAATCCGAATAATAAAAAAAGGTGATGTATTCACGATTCGAACGACTATTGTTAAGGATTCGATTCTATTTCGATCCATTCGACCAGAACCGTAAAAATACATCGGTTCAATCGTCCGTATATATGTGTGTTATTGTTGTTGTTGTTGGCAAGCAGAACTTGCACGTGTTTTTTTTCCTTGATGTTTTCAATTTGATTTTGGCTGACATATAATGAGCAGCAAATAACAGTAAAATGCTTAAACAATGAATAACAACAACGACGATTCCCCATTCAAACACGATGTTTTAGTTGTTTCAGTTGTTCCAGTACACGAACAACTTCATCATTGCCGAAACGCAGAACCAAAAAGTATTTATCGTCGTCGTTGTTGTTGTTTTTGTTTGGTCGGAGGAAACAAACAGAAACAAACAAAAAAAATTAAATAAATGATACTTGTCAACGGGGTTTGTTTGTATTGTAACTGTGATCATAGAGAGAGAGAAAGTGAAACATTTTTTATTCGATTCCAAATAATAGTAACCGTACTACGTTTCAAAGAATGATAATAATAATGATTTTGAAATATCCGTATCTCGTTATAATCAAATTATCAAACCATTTAGAACCAATGTAAGTAGAAATAGTGTAGTGTAGTGAGTGTAGAGAGTGAAAGTAATATTAATAAAAAAAAAGAGAGAGATTTTTCCAACAAAAAAAATGAAAGAAATGATTATCATTTCCATTTTCATTTTTAACACTTGCAAATCGATAGATAGATACTTTAGCCTGAAATGATGATTATTGCATGAAAAAGTAACCATCATCATCATCATCATTTCGAATCATTTGGACTGATGAAACAAAGCAACAAAACAAAGCAACAAAAAAAACCTAGTGGATAACGGATCATAATGGCTATTATCATCATGATGATCATTGAAAGCAATCACATTTTCAAGCAAACACATTTTTTGCATCATTATCATCCAAATCGTTTCACTATGATGATGATGATGATAATGGTATATGGAATAAATGGATTCTTTCCATTAACCCAATCGAATAATGATTGTTGTTTGTTGTTGTTTGTTGTTCATCGGGCAGGAGTTTAAAATGATGGCTTAAATTACCGAATGAATGAAAACATGATTTATGAACTATTTATGAAGAAAAATATGTAACTCTTTCGTTTTTCAGTAAAAACTGAAAATTTGATTCTTTCAAATGAAATGACCAGTTGGTCAGTTTTTCATTATTCAAGTCAAATCAAATCAAATCAAGTCAAGTCAATCAATTGTTTTCCAGAAAAAAAAGTCGCGTGTTCTGTTGGTTGGTTGGTTGGCCATTGTCAGAACAACAATCATTCCAAAAATTGATTGAAATGTTTTCAATGAGGAATATTTTCTTTTTTTGACTATTTCGACAATGTGAACAATAACAACAATGAACAAAAAAAGTCAACAAAAACATATCAAGTTGTCAAATAGTGGAAAGAAATGTTTCTTTTGTGTTGTCCAGTTTCCAAAAAAAAACCCTTTTTTGTTCCTATTGTTCCACAATGATGATGATGATGACCATTCACATCATTAATCGAGACAAATTACAAATTTGGTCAAAACAAAACAAAACTCAATGTCCACCATTCAAATTTTCTATTTTGACAGCTTTCAAGTCTATTTCGTCACACTCACACACATCACTGTTTCCGGATGGTCAACATTTCAAAAAACAAAAAAAAAGAAAAAATTTTTATTATTTGAATCACATACACAACATGCACAATTATATACAGTTAAAATTATGATTTGAGATTTGGAAAAATATCGGCCAACATAGAAACTTTAAGCCAACATACTAATGGTGTTATACCGGCCATATATGGTGCTTGTTTATGATAGAATAATATACCATCGATCTGGATTGGGAAAAAGAAATAATTTTTTCATTATAATCAAAAAAAAAACTCAACAAAAATCATACTGACCTCCGTTTTGAATGGATATGGACCATTTTGACCATATTGACGAATATTCGTCATCGTACATGGCCAATATGGTAATGTTTCGATAAGAATTTGCGATGATGATTGTTGATCGGTTATCATTTGTTCATCATCTCGACAATCATTACCAATATGATTATGGATCCAAAAGAAACGAAATTCTGTATCACAGCCATAAAATGAACAACCATTCCAAATGAATACATCCAAAATATAAAATCGACGTTCCGATTCTACCCATATACAATCGAGCATTGAATTTTTTGCTGTCGATCGAATTAAACTTCGTTGATGAGATTCGATGTTTAAATGACTAGCATGACCATTACTGCCACCTGGTATTCTTGATTGAAATTTAAATAAAAAATGACCATGACGGGTATATGCCCGAGTTTGACCACCATTTGCAATCAACAATGTTCGTCGTCCTTTTGGACAACATACGAAAAACCAACTATCGAAAAAATCTTTCGGTACATCAACCAACCATTCGGATAACATAAAACGATCGGATATTGATTTGCGAAAATTCTGACGCAATACTTTTCGCTTATTATTCTTTCGTTTATTATTATTGGTTGTTGTGGATGAACAATCCATTTCCATATGATTTATTTTGTCGTTCGTTTCGATCGACATTTCCTGATCTGTTGACGAAGATTCGACCATCGTCGACGGTACAGTGTTACCATCATCACCATCATCTTCATCATCGATAGTGTCTTCGATGAGACGTCTCATTCGCTCGATGATAGATTCTCGTTTTCTTTTTGAGAAAAAAAAACAATTTCAGATCAAAGATGAATGATAATAAAAACAAAATATTAATTTTACCTTTGAATACGAGCCAGAAATTCCATTCGGCGTTTTTGTTGAACATTTTTGACAACATTAAATTCATTGGAATTTGTATGCAGAAATTTTGGATGAATTCGAGCTGTACTTGTTTCCAATGTTAATGTTGAATTGATATTTAAATTGGTATCCAATTTATTGATTAGATCAATTTCGGACATGATTAAACTGTCACCGAAATATCAACAACAACAACAAAAAAAATTTGAGACAAGATTTTCGAAGATCATAAAAAAAAAGATCCATGCATTCATCAATCAAACTATCGATACTATTGATTCGTTCATCTTTTATTGAAAAAAAATATTTAAAAAAAAATTGCAACAAATAAAAAGAGAGATCATTCAATGATTGTAGTCGAAGTTATCAATGGATTTGATGATGATGAAGATGCAGATGTAACAGGCAAATATAGTTTAAATTCTGCTGGTAATTCATCTTCAGCATACATACGATCGGCAAAATAAACACGTCGCAATCGACAATTAGCATTGATTGTAACTCGTATAGTTTCCACATAATTACTACCGTATGCACGACGACAAAAATCATTCAAATTGAATGCAATCTGATTCCAGCCATCATCCAGCCGTAATGGCATTGAACAGATGAAATGTTTTACCCGGGTAACTGATTGAAAATTCGATGCACGAAAACGACGTCGTACATTTTTGTCATCAAGAATTTCAACTTCAAAGCTGAAAAAACGTTTCAAATTTTTGACGATCAGAATGAGAAATGGTAATTTGATTCCCAAACTGGATCTTGGTTGCGGTGGACAGGTAACATATGTAGTTGATACATTTGAACCTGTTATTTCAATCACCAATGATTGAATATCATTATCTGTTATTCGTTTAATACTGCCATTTTTAACTTTTTTCTCCCATATCTGTAATGGATTCGATCCAATCGAATAAAGTATCGATAAAAAACCACTTTGAAATGTATTTTTGAACATTGTTCACCGACAAAAATCAAACAATGAACAAAAATGGTTGTCAAAGTGATCACCGCTGAAAAAAAAACAATAACAAACGAGAAATTTCCCAGAAAAGTTGAATTCTTTTTCTTGGTAAATGTTTTCTAGAAAACATTTAAATATTTTTTTATTAATAATAATTTGGATAATAAATCTATAATGGGATGACAATTGGTTAATAATAATAATAATAATAATAACAATTTGGTAACAAGTAAAAACAAAAACAATCAAGATAAAATCCTAATTGACCATTTTAATTCAATGGTCATTTATGAAGTATTAAGAAAATTGATTATTGTTTGGTAAACATTTTCTGGTGAACAAAGATGAACATGATGACCACCCGGTATTGTGATTAAATCGAATTTTGGACATTTTTCACGATACAATCGAATATAACGATCGGATATTTCATCTGGATCAAGTCGTACACCATTCTGTGCTTTTATAATAAATATCTCACATTCAAGTTGTTCAAAATAATGTGCTAACGAATCATTATCCAAACGTTGAAATAGTATTGCTTTCAATCGATTATCACGTGTAAAATAAACTTTGTTTTCATCTGTTGTAGATGGTTTAGCACCTCGTTTCAAAAGAATCTGTGCACCTTCAACAGTTATCTTACCGAATATTGAATGTGCTGAAATTAGTTTATTGATAGCTTCTTGATGATCATACAACGGTGGCATTGACATTTTCATTTTTTGTTGATCACCATTACCGACAACACCATTATTATTACCATTAGTCATACAAAGTTTAGATTCCAGATGAAGAAATTGTTCAATACCTTCACGTGTTTTTGCAGCCAATTTATCTGCAGGGAATGTTAATGGTTTGATCATATCAAGCGATATAATTCGTCGTACAGATGATGGATAAAGACATGCATAAAACATAGCAATTGCAGCACCCATTGAATGACCAAGTATTGTAAATGGTTGATCTTTCCATCCAAGATATTGAACAATTCGTTCCAATTCAATGACAAACATTGTATCATTATATGGACAACCAGCCGGAAGATGTGAACTAAGACCATGACCAGGAAAATCGATTGCAACAATATAAAGATTACTAGGTAATAATGGTATTAGACGATCAAATGTACCACAATTATCTTGCCATCCATGTAGCGCTAAAAAAAACAGATAAAGAGATTAGATTCAATGACATTGGCCAAAAAACAAACAAACAAACAAACAAATGACATTCAAATTGTACATACCTAATACACGAACAGTATCATCATCGAGTGCTGGTTTATCATTACAATTATGATGCCATATTTTACCACGTATTGCACCATATGGTACAGACATTTCAAAATCTGAACAATGTTCCAATTGAATCATGATTGAAATTGAATTTAAAATGAACTAAAGTGAATAAAGGAATGGTTTTCGTTTTTTTTTCTTTCTTTGTTTTTGGTTATGTTTCACTATTCACTGTATCCACATTTTATAATAATTAAATTAAAGAATTGTTCAGCAATTGGAAAATCTTAACCATATCTTGAAATAAATGATTCGCGTTACATATATAACGTCAATCATCAATTTTCCAATGAATGTCCCCATACAGTGCAAACAACAAAAAACAACAACAACAACGAGAACGCGATGCTCACGATCGATAATTTATTGAAAAAAAAGAGTGTGTTTGATTTCAACAATAAAATGCAACGTAAATTGCGCAGAGTTATTCATAGAATATGTTTTGATGAAAGAAATAAAATCATTATCATTATCTTTATTTACAAAAAAAAAAATTAATGGATTAATTCTGAATGATAATCAGTTATGGTGGTGAGAAAAAAAATGACCATGACCATGGTGTGTTACTGGAGAAAAAAAAATTAAATGAAATTAAAATTATAAATGATGATCATAAATTATAAATTGCATCAATGGCCATCGCATTGACATTCGAAATTGCAAATGAATGTTTTTATTACTGCGCTATAGTCAAACAAGGAAGGATGTTGAATTGATTGTCAATTTTACAATGTTTTCCATGACATTGTCATGAAACCAAAAAATGCTTCTGTTATTTTGACAATTGATATTCAACCTTGTTGATAACGCCTGGTGGTACCTTGGCATAATTTTATGATGTTAAATCGTTCTTTGTTTGGTTGGTTGGTTGGTTGGTAATCACCAGATCTATGATGTCTGTTTTGTTTTTGACAGATATATAAATACTCGGATCTCGCAACTGAATGAATCTGTAGAATTTGTCCAAAACAAAATCATCTAAACATGCAATCAATAATTGTTATTGTTTTCGGTATTGTTATTGTTTCGTTTGTCGAAGCTAATCCGATTGTTGGCCAAAATAAAACCGATAAAGGTTTTATAACGATTATCGATCAGATTATCAATCTTGGTTCAGTGCCGAAATGTGCTACCGGTCAAGGACAGCCTGGTTATTGTACGATTGGAACTTGTCCAAATTTGGGCAATTTTTCTTCGGTTGGTTGTACTGGTCGCAATCGTTTCATCAAATGTTGTCCAAATGAAGTAGCTTTTGAACGTTATCCATTGGGTAAAAAAGGTAAGTATCTTGTTCTGTTCGGATCATGTTTTTTTTAAATATGACTAATATCGATCAGAATGTGGTATTCGTCCGGATCGACCGGATGGATTGATTGTTGGTGGTTTAGAAGCTACACCACATTCATGGCCATGGGCTGCTGCGTTATATCGTATTCATGATCAACGAAAATTTTTTCAATGCGGTGCTACCATCATCAGTGAACGTTATATTCTTACTGCTGCACATTGTGTTTTTCAAAAAGCTGATTTAATTACTGATCCAAATGAATATGTTGTTAAAGTTGGTGCACATGAATTATCCGATTCAGGAGAATTTATGCAATTAGATTCGATAACCATACATGAAAATTATACACCACAATATCATAATGATGATATTGCATTGTTACGATTAAAACGACCATTAGATTTTGTTGGTAATGATCGTATAGCACCAGTATGTTTACCTGAACGTGGATCTCGTTTGGGACGAAAAATTGGTACAATGGCAACTATGATTGGTTGGGGTGTACATGATCAAATGGATTTTACACCATCCGATACATTGTATCAGGTAAATGTACCGATATCAAGTTTGGAAAAATGTCGTGATACATATAATCGTTTACTTAATATGAATTATTATTTTGATTGGAATAATGTTATCTGTGCATCCGAATCGAATGGTGGTCATGATACATGTCAAGGTGATTCAGGTGGACCAATGTTAATATCCAAATCAAATGGTCGTTATTATCAAACTGGTGTTGTTTCATTTGGTTATGGTTGTGCTGAAAAAGGTTATCCAGGTGTTTATACCTATGTACCAAATTATCTTGCATGGATTGGTGCTCATATGCATTGATTGACTTTAATTTGTTTGTACATACTTATTATGTTTTGTTAGAATTGAATAAATTTATTTGATAATAAAAAAAATTCATTTTTTAAAATAAAAATCTTTATTAATTTCATAACAAATGTTTTTTAAAAAAATATTAATTATTTACGTTTACGAACATAAGCAAAACGTTTGGTGGTTTCTTTATTTGATCGCATTTTGTTTTGTGTATCAACACCCAACGTAATTGGACTATGCAAAGCATTATAAAGTAATTGTGAATGATGACTACTACCTAATTTTTCTGTTAATTCTTCAATTGATTGTTGTACAATATCATTTATTGATTTAAATTCATTCATAATACAATAAACATTTTGTGTAGTAATACCGGGTAAACATAATAAAAATTCTTTTGTTTCAATATCATAACGATCATTTATATAATCAGATGATAATTCTTGATTTTGTTCAAGATTTAAACGAATAATATTATTATTATTTGGTTCTTCTTTACCATTTTTTAATTCATTTATAATATTGGCTGTAAAATTTGGTGATGGTGACCAAATTAATTGTAATTTTGGAAAATTTATTATCAATATTGATAATTGTGTTAATGGATCTGGGCGTGATTCTGATTTTGATATTTGACTAGATAAAAATGCATTACCCCATATACGTGATTGAAAACTAAATGAATCTTCAGGAAATTCTATTAATAATAATGGTTTTCTATAATGACGTGTCATTGTTTGTGTTTGTTGATATAGTCGTCCATCGGATAATGATTTTAATAGATCCGGTATAGCTTTTCGTTCGATACAAGATTCAGGTGTTATAATATAATCACCAATTTCTAATGTTACAGGTATTAAATCAATACCAATCTTATGAATATATGATGGTAATGCTGAACGAAATTCACGTAAATCAATTAATACTTGTGGATTAGATGTGGAATTTTTTTCCATATTACCACCACCACCACCTAATCTTGAATTAATACGTTCAGCATATTCATCTGGATGAAAAAGTGTTGGTTTTCCACGTATCAAATCAGGATGTTCACCAACAATACCTTCATTTTCTTTATGATCAGGTAATCGAGATTTTTCTTGTATTAATTTTTCAAATGATTCTTTTTCTATTTGTAATTTTCGTAGATAACGTTGTTCTTCAACTGAACCATCATAAACAAAAAAACTAACTTCAATCTCCGGTTTTTCTGGCCGTCCATATAATCCCTGATATAATTCAATTTGACGAATAACACACATTTCAGCTTCATAAATAATAATATATTGTGGTTTTAATGTATAAAGTAAATGTTTTAAACCTAAACCACAATCATCATCAGCTGACCATTCATAATAATGTATTTGATATAATTGATGACGACGTACAATCGATAATTCATGTGATTCAATTGGACACATCATCTGTGTTAATGTTAATTGATCTTCAAATTCTTCAATATCACCATCACCATCATCACCATCTTTATCATTTGGATTTGATTTTTCGGATTTTTTCGATTTTAATTTCGAAATCAAATCAATCTTTTTTCCATTAGCTAAAAGTTCAGCTTTTTGTTTTAATTCTTCAATAACAACATTACGACCTTTATCCAAATATTTTTCAATCAAATTAATTGAATATGATTTTTCTACAACAATTATAATATCAACAACATCATCATCATCAACAGCAGTATTATTTTCATTTAAAATTTTTTGTTCAATTTCTTTAAGATGAATGATTAATGCTTCTAATTTGGGATTAATTTCAATTTGAAAAATTTTTTCATTATTTAAATTTTCTTTAAAAACACGTTCAACAGTTAGATCATATAATGTTGTTGCTGCTGGTCGATGTAACCAATCAATTGTATGTATTTTTGGATCATATGTATCCATTATATGTTTAATTTCACCATAAAATGTAACCGAATCCAATTCAGTTAAATGAAATAGTAAGGATTTAAGTAATTGTATTTCACGTATTGTACGACGTGCTTTTAAACTTAAATTATACCATATTGAATCAAGATTTAAACGTATTAATTTATTGAAATTATTTGATAATACACTTATCGTATTTAATGAACGTTCTTCATTTAATGAATTTGTTGAATTATCAAAAAAATATCCAATATTTTCCATTTTAATTAATTCTTTAATACTTGATGATATAAGTTCGAGAAAGGTAAATTGTATTTCTTTCATTACAGGTGTCATTTGTATACGAAATTCATTAACTTTTGGTGATTTACGTATGGTTAATGAATTACGAATTGTAGCATGAAAACGTGGCCATAAATATAATTGACTAACAAATAATTTTCTCATACATTTTTCTAGCTGACCAAATGAACCAAAAAAACTTGATGCATTTTGTGATAAAGCCGTAATGAATCCAGTTTTATTCGATAATCGATATAAACGTAAAATAAATGATAAATAATAATCTTTAATTATACGATGTGAATTTAGAACAATAATACCCGATATTGATTGAATAGGTACACGTTTGGCAAGCATATCAACAATTAATATTCTTGTTGTTATAAATATAACACCACCGGCTAAATACATATTATGACGTTCTTGTGTTTTATACGATGAATAGGAAATTTTTTGTGGCCGCTCAAATTCATCATCATCATCCTTATTATCATTATTGTTGGATCGTCTTTTGGCAATATATTCATCAATTTGAAACATAATACTATCTTCTTCTTTTTCATTCGAACCAATAACAAAAACCAAATGACAATGATTTGAATATGTACGAACTAAATGAAATAAAAGACGATCATTTAATAATCCTTTTGATGAAATTGTTAAACTATTTTGATTTAATACATTTAATAATGCTTCATGTTCAAATTCTAGTAGTTGATCCATTTTTTTTCCTCAAAAAACAGAAACAAATTCAAAGAAAAAAACAAATTCAAATTCAATAAATTCTTTCGGCGATGATGATGAGAGTAATCGAATAAATCTTGTTTATACATTGCAAGTTGTTTTCAAACATAAAATGGAAAAAAAACATTCGATAAAAATAATAAAAATGCACGAACCGAGAATTGTTTCAAGTATTTGATAAATGAATTATTCAATTTTACAAATTATAGTTTTGTTCTACTAAAAAGTATTATGGCTGGTTTATCGGTTCTTGTTGCATGGGCTAATGAGCTGACCGAAATTAGCGTCTTTCAAATTAAAGATTTTGATCCAAATTGGATAAGTGGTGATAATTATCCCAATCATCCAATCATCTATACGACAAACGATTTCATCCAAGCACAAGGGATAATCAAATTTATAGGTAACAGAAATTTTGCTTGTGATTTGTTTCCTATAAATGTTATTTTGTCATTCGAACAATATAGGAACTTCTGAAGAAGTGAAAAGAATTAAAGAAGAAATCATTTCCAAAAGGACTGTCTCTTTGGAAAGTAGGGATATTCAAGAACTAAAAGAGATGATATTCAAAATGCAAAAGCAATTGGACGAACAGTCCAATAAAATAAACCAATTAGAGCAAAAATTGGATTATTTAACTCAAAGACCTTCTGCAGATAATGTAAAACTTATTGCGGTAGTATTATTTTGCTTTACTTATATTTTATATTTATTCATTTCAGAATGTTATAACAACCGGCAAAAACCGGATGAATGTTTTTATAAATGATTTATCAGCAGCTTTGATACCAAACGATGAAATCAAAGGACTGTTTCGTCTTTGCAAAACAGTTCTTGGAGACGCATTGATTCCCGGAATGACATGGAGGGAACACTCCCAAGAGATCAGAGAAAACATTACTGATCTTATTTGTAAGTATTTTTTAAAAAAATCAAGCAAACATGATGTATTTGATTGTAATATTTTTTTTCAGATCTGTTTATTGATCATAAATATCCAGATAATGAAGAAAAACGAAAATTGTCTTTGATATTAAAACGAAAAGTTATCAAAAAATTAAATAATCAGAAAAAAAAGCATCGAATAGAATCAAACAATTATGATGCATTACAATGAAAAAAAAACATGATTTATTCAAATGTAAATTTTTTTATATAAAAATGAATGTAAAAAAAACAATTCCAAATAAAATATTTTCAACTAATTTTTCATCGAAGAATTTGATGATTGTGATAAATCTTTAATTTCAAATAAATTTGGACCATGTATACGTAATTCCATTTGATGATGATTTTTAACGCTAATTCGATGACCACAACTAACAATTGTTATTGAATAACGATAAATAAGTTCATTGATAATTTTCTTTTCAACATCTTTTGGTAATGATATTGTTGATTCATCAAAAAATACAATATGTGGTCGATGGAAAAATATCCGGGCCATTTGAAAACGTTGTGCTTCACCGGCCGACAGATGATCAATCCAATTTTCATTGAAATCCAAAAATATATCATTATCAACACGTTTCAGTACACATTCTTCTAGATCTAAAAATTTTAATATATCAATAACACGTTCACAAAAACCAATATCTTGAAACCATTGTTCTCGTTTATAGATTTTTGGATATAAAATTTGCTTAAGTGGAAAAAAACGAAATTGAATTAAATTAGTGAATATTTTTAAAAAAGTTATCAGGTTTAACTTACTTCAGCTACTGATCCATTAGTCAGTAATGGTTTATGTGTAAAAAACATTGCCATTGTTGTATCAAGCAATAATTGTTGATTACGTTCAATTGAACCGGAACTTATTGGCCATATTCCTTTTAATGAACGTAATATTGATGTTTTACCAATACCATTTGAACCAGTTATAAATAAATTAATACGTGGTTTAATAATTAAATTTAAATTTTGCAATACCGTACGTTGTAATGGTGTTTGTATTGTAACATTTTTCATTTCATAAAAATTTTTATCTGAATTATTTAATTCATGATAATCACCATTATTATTATTATTAAAATTTAATGATTGATTCATATAAATGGTATCAATATCAGTTGTTGATGAACCATCATTATTTAATGATGATGGTGATTGTTGTAGAAACCATTTATTCAATTCAATAATACGATTATAATTACCCAAAAATATTGATATATTTTGTGATAAATCAATTAAACGTGTAAAACAATTAATCAGATAAATTGTAACGAATGCATTTGCACTAATTAATTTGCTTAATTCTTGTGGTGTATAATTATCATAATGACCAGCAAATAATGGTACAGCTATAGCAATAAATGATATTATTGAACCAAAATAATCCGATAGATTTGTTGTAAATATTAGAAAAAATTGACGAAATATTAAACGATATTGTACATTGATTAATGATTTAAGTAATGTATGACATTTATAATGTTCAGCCGATTCACCACTAATAAATGCAATTGCTTCGGCATTATTCCTGATGCGAACATGTTGAAAACGAAAATCACCTTCACGACGTTCTTGTTGATAAACATAAGGACTAATAATATTTATTAAAAATGAATTTATAATCGAACCAATTATAAATAATATTAAACAACTAATTGGTCCAAGCCAACCAGTTTTTATTTGTGATTTATACCAATAAAATCCTAATATAAATGGCCAAACTAATAATTCACTAATAATATTCGATAACATTTGAAACATACGATCAACATCTTGTGTAATACGTTGATCAATATTATCTAATTGATAATGTTTACCATTATTAAAATTATTATATGGATAATTTAAAATATTTAATTTAAAATATGATATATTTTGAAAATATTGTTGATGTATTTGTATTGTACAATGTTTACGCCAACCAATATAAAGATATGATGATGAATAACGTTTTAATGTTATTAATAATGATATTGCTTGAATGAGAAAAAAAATGTTTTTGTAAAACAAATTTTGAAAAGATTTAAAAAAAAATAAAACTTACCGACAATCATTCCGGTTGCTTGTAATGTTTGTCTGATGAAACCATTTTTATCTTTTTTACCTAAAATTTCATAATAATCACTACTAATTAAACCAACATGATAAACAGCAATTTCATATAAAATTGAAAATATCAATACTGCTATCAATGAAATGATTATTTCAAGTTTATGTAATGAAAAAATTTTCGTCAATATTAATGACCATTTTTGTGATAATGTTAATGGTGGTAACATTATTCTGATTTCACCATTCGTGTGATTTTTTTTTGCGCTAAAAAAACATCCAAAAAGATGAATAAAATTGATTAATAAAAGACATATATTTTTTATTTATAAAAAAAAAGTAATTTTCAATTAAAAACAAACATAATTCAAATATAATTGTTTGGATTAACATATTTAAATATTTCTGAATTCATTATATTATCTCTCAATTCAACAATACGATATCTTTTATAAAATTTTTTATCATTTTCTTGTTTAGATTTTTCTTGATTTGCTTTTATTGATTCTAATATTGAATGATTATCAGATATTGATGTAAAATTTGATACAAATCTATGATATGTATCAGGATTATCATAACGATCTAAATAATAAACAGCTAAACGACAATTCAAACCAACCATATATGTACAATAAAATTTTTCAATCGACCAACGTGCAATTTGTTTACAATGTTCAATAAATAATATATGTTCAAATAAATATTCATTACATTGTGATAATTCATATTCTAATAAATTTAAATCTAATAATTTTATATCATTATGAATATTACTTGTATTTAACCAATGTGATAATAATTTACCATATAAATTATTTAAAAACCAATCATCATTATTTGATGATGATAATTGTAAATGAAAAACTTTAATTACAATTATTATAATTGAAAATCGAATCAATATTGAACGATATTTCATTGTTTTTATTACTACGAAATTTTATTTACAAACAACAACAACAAAAATTTACAAAAAAAAATTTACAAAACCCATTTTAAATACCTTTGATAATTCGATAATTTGATTCGGTTTTATAAATTTAATTAAATTTATTGATTTGGTCACTCCGATTTACACAAACACAAATACAAAACAATAAAATACACTGAAGTATAGAGTGATTGATTGATTTGGATCGATTTTGGATGATGGAAAAAAAATCTTTATTTAAATATTATTATAATGAGCAACAAGTGGCACAAGATTTATCATTAACAAAAGAATCAATATGGATTATAATCGATGATAATATATTAGATTTAACTGAATTTATTGATAAACATCCGGGTGGTGATGATATACTTATAAAATATTCAACAAAAAATTGTACATCATTATTCAATCAAATACATTCTATACAGGCTAAAAAACAAGCAAAACAATTTATAATCGGTAAATTGATTGTAAAATCACAAAAAAAGTAAAAAAATGAAAAAATCTTTAATTAATAAAATTTTTGATAATTATCAATTGAAACAATAAAACAACAGAGAGAGTAATGTACAAAAAAAAAGATCAAAAATCAAAATATTGAATTGATTGATTGATTTGAAACGTTGATTAGATTCTTTGATTTGATTTAGCTGATGATTGATCGAGAGAGAAAAGCCTCGACAACAACTATGATGATTTGTTGGATGAAAATGATTCAAACAAACAAACGAAAAAACATCATTATTGTTATTTTAAAATCATTTGATGATAAACGACAATAACAGCAGAAAAAAAAATAACATCCCAATTATGGTTGTTTTGTTTCGGCGTCGACTGCTTGCAAAATGTACATTGATACAGCGAGTACATTTTTTTTTTCTTCTTCTTCATTATCAGAAAAAATGGCCAATTTTTTTTTTTGTTGTTGCTAAATATGATCCATAAAAAAAGATAACCCGAAAGAGAAACAAAAAAATGATATCTCAAGGATTCTTTTCAAAACAAGAAAATTGGATCAATGCAAAATGAAAAAGAAAAGATAACGCTCGAAGAACTCGTGTAAAACTCAGTCTTGTTATTGACGATGTTTTTTTTTTGATAAAATTATCAACAGAAAAAAAAAATAGCCAATGTCCATGAACAAATTCAAATCTAATCAATAATATCTGTCCAGTTTCTATATAGTTTTTTCTCTGATTTCTATCATCCAGACGAAAAACCAAATTTTTTTAAATTTTTTGAGTAAAAAATTTCAAAACAAAAAAGATTCGAATTACGATCGAAATGGATCAACGAAAAAAAAAAAAAATTCAATCATTGCATTTATGAATGGATCAGAATGTTTTTTTTTTGCGTTCGTTCGATCGATGATGAAAATGAGAATGAATGAAAAAAAAACATTGAATCAAAATAAAACTCCCAACGTATATATCAACAACGGCCAATATCTTCATCATTATTATCATCATCAAAAAGATCCATGGCATGCATGTATCTATTCTCTATGCTATGTGTCGTCTTTTTCTTTCTTTTTTTTTGCTTTAACAATGCGTTATGAATGATTATTATCATCACCAAACAAACAAACAAACATAAACAACAACAAAAACAAAATTTTTTCAAACAAACAACAAAAAAAACAATGGTCATGATGATGTTTAGGTTAAAATTTCTATTCTAAAAACAAAAAAAAACCTTTACAGCCTTACATTATTATTATTATTATCTTGAATTCTGGATTTATATTTTTTGCATTTTCACATTATTTATTACATATTCTACACATCATTATTATTATTATTATCATTTTTTCTTTCATAAATTTTATTTTTCTTTAAAAAACAAAAGCCTGTATTGTGTTTATCTGTGTGTGTGTGTGCTTTGTTTTGTTTTGTTTTGTCCATCATTGAAGACAAAAATCAATTGTGATATCAATTTTTCGAATCAAATTATCAACGATTATTAAAATAAAAAATGTATTGGAATGATACAACATCACGGATTGATTCCATCCTACAAGAAAAGGTTAATATTGAAAAAAAAAGTTGTTGAAATTGAATTAAGTTTTTGTTTGTTTTTGTTTGTTTAGGATGTAACATTGGAAATGATACTTGATGAAGATGATGTATTACAAGAATGTATTGGAAATAATGAATCATTAATTCGATTGTAAGTTTATTTTGATGTTTATTTGTTGTTTTTCTATTAAAATTTCATTGTTTATTTATAAATATAGTCTGACGAAAGATGAGATAATAATTAAAATGTTAACAATGATGACCATTGAACCAGAATCGAATGATAATGAAATGGAAAATTATAAATATGCAAATACAATATGTGAAATATTAACACATGATGGTAATTTATTTTCAAATTTAATAGCTACAAATCGAAAATATCTTTTGATTTTATGGTCATTTCTTGATCATTCATGTCGAAATGAAATATCTGTTTTAAGTGAACAACAACAACAACAAGAGCAACAACAATCAACAGAAACTGAAGAAAATTTATCCATAGATAAAAAAGAAGAATCTAATGATGAAAATGTTGATAAAAATGAAAATGAAAAAAATGAAGAAAGTGGTGATAAAAATGAAAATAAAATAGAAGATAAAGAAACGCCATCGAATAATGAAGATAAAGTTGATGGAAAAAGTGATAATCAGGAATTTGAAACGAAAACTGATGAAAAACAACCGTTGACAACAACAACAACAACAACAAAGTCAACCAATGAACAATCATTGAATCCATTATTAGCTAGCTTTTTTACCAAAGTATTTGCATATATTTTTATGCATGATACAGAACCTGTGTTAGAATTTTTAATCACACGAAATCATCCAAATGATCTTGTTACAGTGATATTAAAACATATCCAAACATCGGCAATAATGGATTTTATTTATAAAACATGGAAATATATTAATGTTGATCGATATAATCAAATTAATCAGCTAACGAATGAAATTAAAGAAACATTAAATGGAACAACAATTATTATAAAAAATGATGATGATGATAATGATAAGGATAATGATGATGAACAACAACACCAACAACAACAACAACAAGAATCATCAATCAATTTAAAATTTAATAATGTAAGTGAATTGAATTGCTTATCTTATCAATCATTATCTTTTATGGTTTTTTTTTCATTTGAATTTATCTATAGTTATTGATTGAAAATGAATTTATTAATAAATTAATCGATATGTTTCAAAATCCTGATCTGGAATCTGAACAACAAAATGTTGCACAGCTTATTTCGGATATGATACGTTTAAAACGTGAAGTACTTATCAATGCTAAACCAGCACAACAAGAAATAATGATAAAATTTGATCTAGAATCGTAAGTGATAATAATTATTTGTGATATTTTTTATTCAAAAAAAAAAAAATTCCCCTAATAGTGAAAATACGATAAAAAGATTGTTGAACAATATGTTTGAATGTCGAACAAAAAATTCGATTGTAAATGGATTGAAAATCATACAGGTGTTACTTCAATACAATCTTGAATAGTAAGTAATTATGATTGATTAATTCAGAAAAAAATTGTTGTTTATTCGCGTATTATTTTAGTCAAAATATGGTAACACAACAAGAAGCGCAGCTATCATCAATGATAGAAAAGGTTTCGAAAAAACCATCAACCGATCCAATGAGTGATGATGATAATGATGATGAATTAGAACCGATGCCAAAATTTTTAAAACAACAAAGTTCACTTAATGTATCAAGAATGTTTGAAAGAGTTGTTGAAAAAATTATGGATTTTCCAACCGAAGAAACACAAAGTGAACATCTTACACAATGTGTACGAAATTGTTCAAAAGCATTAATTGAACGTTTAGAAGATTTTGTAGCCATATTAATTGATTCACCATATTGTGAACCAATGAAAACAACAGCCGGTATTATTGAAAAGCCACTTGGATTTATTCGTCTTGAAGTGGTTCATTTGTTTGTTGCATTATTTGCAACATCAGATTTTCAAATTATGAAAAAATGTTCACAATTGAATGTTTTAAAAATTTTAACCGTAAGTTTTTGTAAATTATTATTGTTGTTGTTGTTTAATTTTTACGTTTTTTTTTAAATATGTTAGGATCAATTTTTTGCCTATCCATTGAATAATCAATTACATAAATATTATTTGCAAATTATCTGTTACATATTTCAAAATTATCATAATTATAAAATAATTTATGATAAACATCATCAAACACCATCAAATAATAATATCGATAATATTGAACAAACATCAAATGATGAAAATCAATCAAGTGATCAGCCACACAATAATGATGATAATAAGGATAAGGAAAAAATATCATATTTTTTAAATCGTTTTGAAATAACAAAAACATTGGTCGAACAAATACTTAAAGATTGTCATTTGATTGAAAAAATATTGGATAATTTTGCCGAAGAATCGATACCGATCAAATCATATGAATTGAAAAATATTGATGATAAAAAACAATGTTCCGATCAAGTGGATGAAAAATTAGAATCGAAAGAAAACAATCAATCTTCGTCGAATGTTGATGAACAAAAAAAGGAAAATGTTGAAGATGTTATAATGGAAGAACAAAATGAATCCGAAACCAAAAAATCAATTACAGATGAAACGATAATAGTTTCGAAAAAACCTAAACTTATATCTAGGCCTGGTTATATGGGTCATTTACGTTTGATTGCAAACACATTGAATGAAAGATGTAATGAAAATTTATTGCGTGAATGTTCACTTGAAGAAATGATGCCGCAATGGAAAGAATTTGTTAAAGGTAAACTTGAAAAATTGAATCAATTAATAACTGCCGAACTTGTACCCGAATCTAAATGTAATCCATTGATTGATCCAATTCTGAACGAGGTAAACAATTTTTTTTTACAACAAATATTCAATTGATGAATGACTATTTTTTCTCATTACTTTCCCACCCAAAAAATAAAGGAATCGGAATTTCTTGCTTATAAAGACGAAGAATTTACGATGAACAATATGATAAGCGAACCGAAACCATTACCCGATTTTAGTAATCAAAATTTAGATATCAATGAAGCATTAAAGCTTAATAATAATATAATTAATGATATTGAAAAATTTTGGGTATGTAGATTTTATTTTTGTTTGTTTTTCATATCATTAATGAATGAAATTATCACCATAAATATCAAAAATATAGGAAAATCCTAGCGAAGATTTTGAAAGTCTTGAAAAATATTTTGAATGTTCTACTAGAAATAGTCAAGAAATAAATAAAAAACTTGCCAATCCTGATGATATTGATGATCCATGGGCTAATGATGATTCATTCAATATATCATCGAATGATAAACAATCGACAGCCGATGAACAATGGCCAAAACGATCAGAATTTCTTATTCAAGAATGTTTTGCATCTTTTGATTCGAACGAAACGAATCAAAAAATTTCTGATGGAATTGGTTTACGTAAGTTTTTTTTTAAATTCCACAATCAAGGTTCCGCTAGATAGTATCTGAAAGAATCTTTTTAACATTATTCATACAGAATAATTAATTTTTAAAAATTTAATCAGAATTATTAGAATAATCATGTTTATTTTATTTTCGTAGAAAACCTAGAAGATTATTTTACTGATATCGATGTATTTAATAATTCGGAAACGATGAACATTTCGAATACAATTGAACAACAAAATCCATGGGGACCAACAATGCAATGTTCATCATCAAATTCAAAAATAGTTAACGATGAAGGTTGGGCAGATTTTCTTAACGATCCATTTGCATCATCACCAATGGTTTCGATTATGAATAAGCCGCAGCAACAGCAATCCAAAGAATCTTTGAATAACAACGAAATCGAGTCTACTACTGAGTCTACTGCAGCTCATGTAAATGATGATTCGGTAGATAAATCAAACAATGTTGAAGAAGATTTATTTGTTGCAAATATTAAATCAAGTTCATCGCCTACTAAAAACAATGAAAATAATGATAAAGAAGACAGTCAAATGGTTGCCAATACTTCAATGAATGAAGATGACCCATTTAATAATTCAAACGAATGATCCTTATTTATAAAGCAATTCAATCATATAATAATAATAATAATAGCTATTATCAAGATGATTTTTTTTTGATTTGAAACAGTAAAATAACTCCGATATTGTTGAAATTGTACAAGCAACTATAAAATATTAGCAACTTTTATATATATACACACACACACACACAAAACAAAACAAACAAAAACAGAATGCCGAAATGTAAATAAATAATACATTTAGGCTAATTTTGTCATTTACAATTGTGATCATCGTTCATATTATAATTAATATTACAAATTGAATAAAATAAACAAAATCATTTGCTTTAAATATTATTATTATTTTTTTTTTTTTTTGAAAATAACTTTTTGGTCAAACATTGGTCAGATCAATGACCATTGTTATTTTAAATATATTTGTTTATTTACAAAGATTTTTTTTCATTTGATAAGCAATGGGGTAATGATCAAATGTTCCGACCGCTGTTCTATAGACAAAACAAAAACAAAAATAAGGAATTTTTTTTCAAACTTATTTTTTTGACAAGCAAATTTTTTTATAGAATTTAATAGCCATATGAAAATTCAAGATAAACATTTGTATGTATTTGAATTTTGATATGAAAAACATTTGACCACAAGTAAAACCAAATAGATTGTTGGTCATCGATTGTAGAAATAGACGTGATTTAAATGAATATCGTAATGGTAATCTATTGTGAGATTGTTTTCGTTCAACATTTGACCATTGTGATCGAGCAATCCAACGATGTATGGATAAACAACAATTTTGATTATATGAAGGTAAATGAGCTATACGAAAATAGAGACTGTTTGTTAAACAAAATAATGCTACGAATATGAATGTGGTGACTGTATTCTGTATATGCATCTTGATTTGATGACTATAAAATAATAAACAAATTACGACCAAAGATTTTGAACAAAATTCAGTAAACAATAATATATTTCGAAGTACTAAATTGAATTTATCAGTTTCACTATAAAGATAGACATAATCAGAATGGAATCGATACCAGAATAATTTTTGCTCTATTCTCGATGATTGAAATGAATTTTCAAATATATTCATTGATTTCAATGAAAATTGTTTGAAACGAATACGAAAAAATTCAATAACAAAAACTAAGAAACCAATCACCATAAATGAATCACAAACTATGTAAATACATTGACAAATGTACAAAAAGAAAAATATTAATGACAATATGAATTTTAACAAACTAATCTGACCATTTTTATATAAATAAAAACCAAAAAATTCTGTTATAAAATTGATAGCCAATAAACCAAAGGTAAAAATTCGATAAGAAATAATGGAAATCGAATAAGATTTTCGATAAAATTGTATTAAATGATTTCGATATTCCAATGATAATTCATTATCATTATAATGCCAATAATTAATTAGAAATTCATTAATTTTTGATTTATATTTTATAAATTCATTCAAATGATGAATAAATAAACATTCACGTAATATGAATACAATAATCATTTCGATTGCAATAAAATCATTTCTTTTTGCATGAACAATTTCATCAAATGTTTCGATACTAATAAAATAATCATTATGTGGCCATATTACATAAGATAAAAGAAACATTGTTGATATCCATGAATTTAATGCCAAAATTATTGCTCGTTTAATTGATGAAAATGCCAAAGAAATTTTTCGTTGTTCATAATCAACCAAATCATAATCAATACGTAATGCATAATATTTAACTGATTGAAAACCTTGTCGAATAAAATGTTTGATTTCGATATTTTCGTTGAATCGTCGAAATGGATTGAAATAATTCATTATGATGATGATGATTATGATGTTGGTTGTTGGAAAGCAAAAAATTAAATGCCATGTATTCATTCATTTATTCATTTATTTAAGAAAAAAAACCCTTATACCAAAAAATGCCATGTAGGTTTCTGAAAATATTCTAGATATTTGAACAAAACGAAACGAAAATTCTATAGTAAAAGAGTTTTTAAAGTATTTTAGTCATAATGAATTGCCAAAAAAAAACTTTTGACAATTTACAATCGGAGATGGTTTTCGAATGAAAAAACAAAAAAAAAACAATTAAAAAAATAACAATAATAATCATTATTCATGTATATTCTTATATCTACATAACACATATATATTTCATAATGAAATGATAGTTATAAATTACATTTGTATTTTTTTTCTACGAATGTATTTTTCTATAGGATGACGAAAATAAAAGAAAAATCGAAACAGTAAAAAACTGTTTAGGTGAAAATTTTTCATTAATCATAATTTTTTTTTTGTTTTAATAAGAAGAAAATAATAATGGTATGACAAAATGAATTTGAAAACAAAATTTTAATGAATCGAAAAATAATTAATAATAATGATTATAAATGAATTATAAATTCTATTCTACTGAATAATATTCGATAATTATTCATTTCTAAATGAAGACTAATCAATGAAAACAGTTTTATCATTTGTTTTGTGATAGGCAAATTTTTTTATAAAATTTAATAGCCATATGAAAATTCATAATAAACATTTGAATGTATTTGAATTTAGATATGAAAAACATTCGACCACATGTAAAACCAAATTGATTGTTGGTCATTGTCGATAGAAATAGACGTGATTTAAAATAATATCGTAGTGGTAATCTATTCCGGTGTTTTTTTCGTTCCATATTTGACCATTGTGATCGAGCAATCCAACGATGTATAGATAGCCAACAAATTTGATTATATAATGGTATATGAGCTATACGGAAATTAAGTATATTTATTAAACAGAATACTGTTATTAAGATAATAGTAACAAGTGAATTTTGAAGATGCATTTTGGTTTGATGACTATAGTATAATAAACAAATTACCACCAAAGATTTAGACATCATTTCAAGAAATAATAATACTTCTTGAATTGTTTGATTGAATTTGTCAGTTTCGCTATAAAGATAGACATAATAGGAATGAAATCGATACCAAAATAATTTCCTTTGTAGATTTGATGATTGAATTGAATTTTTTAATAAATTCATTGATTTGATTGATAATTGCTTCAATCGGATGCGAAAAAATTCAATAACAAACACAGTGCTGATTAACAAATTGAATGAATAGCAAACCATATAAATACACTGAGAAATGTATGAAAAAAAACATATTGATGATATTATAAATTTAATCAATTGGATTTGGCCATATTCATATAGATAAAATGAAAAAATAACTAAAGCAAAATAAATTGACAATAATCCGATGGTCAGAATTCGATAAGAAATTGTGGCAATCAAACTGGATTTCTTATAGAATCGAATCAAATGATTTTGATTTTCAAATGTTAATTCACGATCATCATATTGACAATATTTCATTAGAAATTCTGTTATTTTTGATTTATATTTAATTAATTCATTCAGATAATTATAGAATAAACATTCACGTAATACAAATACAATAATCATTTCGATAATAATAAAATCATTTCTATTTGAATAAACAATTTTATCAAATTCATCAATACTTAACAGATAATCATTACATGGCCATAATACTAAACAAAAAAGATATACAATTGTTAACCATGAATTTAATGTAAATAAAATGGCTCGTTTAATTGTTGAAAATGTCCAAGAAATATTTCGTTGTTCATAATCCAAAAAATTATAATCAATACGTATTGCATAAAATTTAATTGATTGAAAAATTTCCATAAAAAAATATTTAATTTTAACATTTTGTTGATTGGATCGGCTAAATAGATTGAAATTCATAATGTTGTTTTTGTTGTTGCTGTTAATTGAATATCCAAATAACGAATGTTGATATTTGTAATATTTATATACTAATTTAAAAAGTTGAATTTCTAAATTGTCAACTGCTTCTGGGCAATAATTTTTTGTCAGGAAAGAAGAAAAATTTGGTAATAACTTTTCAGTCATATCAGTTGATTAATCGATCAATGAAACAAGAAGAAAACACATAATTTATAGCAATAATAACATGATTGTTATCAAATTATACTTTTTTTTCTTGAAAAGAAGGCATATTGTTAAAGTGAAAAAATTGAATATTTGTTTGTAAAACTTTTTTTTATTGATTTTAGAATTTTAAAATTAATTTTGAAATAAATTTAACCCTTTTTAAAAGCATGGAATAAATTGAAATTAGTCAGAAAAAAATGGCAATAAGTTTTATTCAATTTCTTCTAGCAATAACTAATCTATAGAGCAAAACAAAAACTTGTCAGTCAGTTTTTATTCGGTTTGTGATAAGCAAATTTTTTTATAAAATTTAATGGCCATATGAAAATTCATAATAAACATTTGAATGTATTTGAATTTAGATATGAAAAACATTTGACCACAAGTAAAACCAAATTGATTTCTGGTCATTGTCTGTAGAAATAGTCGTGGTTTAAGTGAATATCGTAAAGGAAATCTATTGCGGTGTTTTTTTCGTTCCTTATTTGACCATTGTAATCGAGCAATCCAACGATGTATGGATAGCCAACATAATCGATTATATGATGGTAAATTAGCTATACGAAAATTGAGAATGTTTATTAAAAAGATCATTGCAATGAGAATGAATGTGGCCATTATGTTTTGAGCATTCATCTTGGTTTGATGACTACAAAATAATAAACAAGTTACGACCAAAGATTTAGAAATCATTTCGAGAAATAATAATACATCTCGAAGTGTTAAGTTGAATAAGTTAGTTTCTTCAAAGAGTTGAATGTATTCTGAATGAAAACGATACCAGAATAATTTTTGTTTTCGTTTTGATGATTTGATTAAATTTTCAAATATTTTCATTGATTTGATTGATAATTGTTTGAATCGAATGCGAAAAAATTCAATAATAAACACAATACAAATTAACGATTTGATTGAATCGCAAACTAAATAGATACATTGACAAATGTATAAGAAAAAACCAATTGCTGACAATATGAATTTAATCAAACTAATCTGACTACATTCATATAAATAAAATGAAAAAATTAATAGAACAAAATGAAGTGACAATAATCCGATGGTAAAAATTNATAGAGCAAAACAAAAACTTGTCAGTCAGTTTTTATTCGGTTTGTGATAAGCAAATTTTTTTATAAAATTTAATGGCCATATGAAAATTCATGATAAACATTTGAATGTATTTGAATTTGGATATGAAAAACAATCGACCACAAGTAAAACCAAATTGATTGTTGGTCATCGATTGTAAAAATAGACGTGATTTAAGTGAATATCGTAGCGGTAATCTATTGTGAGATTGTTTTCGTTCCAAATTTAACCATTGTGATCGAGCAATCCAACGATGTAAGGATAACCAACATAATCGATTATATGATGGCAGTTGAGCTATACGAAAATTAAGACCGCTTATTAAACAGAATATTGTTATAAAAATTAATGTGACGAGTGTATTCTGCAAATACATTTTCGTTTGATGACTATAGAATAATAAACAAATTACGACTGTAGATTTAGACATTAATTCAGTGATCAATAATATAAATCGAACAGCTGAATTGAATTTATATGTTTCACTATAGAGATAGACATATTGATAATGAAATCGATACCAGATTGATTTTTGTATTTTACTAGATGATTGAAATGAATTTTTAAATATATTCATCGATTCAATTGATAATAGTTTGAGTCGGATGCGAAAAAATTCAATAATAAACACAATAAAACTTAAAAGTATTAATGAATCACCAATTATAAATATACATTGACAAATAAATAAGAAAAAAAATATAGATGTCATTAGAAATTTAACTAAACTAATCTGACCACTATTATATAAATGAAAAGAAAAGAAAATAAACATAAAATTAACAGCCAATAAACCGATGGAAAAAATACGATAAGAATTAGTTGAAATGAAACGAGATTTTTGATAAAATCGTATCAAATGATTACGATTTTTAAATGATATTTTATCATCATTATAATGCCAATATTTAATTAGAAATTCATTAATTTTTGATTTATATTGTATAAATTCATTCAAATGATAATAATATAAACATTCACGTAATATGAATACAATAATCATATCGATAACAATAAAATCATTTCTATTTGCATTAACAATTTTATCAAATATATCGATACTAATTAGATAATCATTATGTGGCCATATTACATAAGAAAATAGAAACATTATTGATATCAATAAATTTATTTCTAAAATAATTGTACGTTTAATCAATGAAAATGTCCAAAATATTTTTCGTTGTTCATAATCATCTAAATCATAATCAATACGTAATGCATAAAATTTTACTGATTGAAAACCTTGTCGAATAATATCATTGATTCGGATATTTTGATCTAATGATCTGATTGGATTGAAATAATTCATTATGATGATGATGATGATGTTGGTTGTTGGAAAGCCAAAAAATTGAATGTCATATTTCCAAAAAAAATTAAATTCTTTTATCTACCATGTTCACCGTCATGTTTGACGTAATGAAACAGAAGCAAAACAAAAAAAAAATCCATAGAAAGGTTGGGTCTGGTCATTTCACAATTTCCTTTAATTTTTTTTCCTGTTCAATGTTTCTGTATTTAACACTATTTTGAAATTCAATGATTTTTTTTTATTTTATTTTTTGGTTGAGAAACATAATTAACTTGAGAAGTATTTCTCAAGAAAAGAAAAAGAATCTTATGATAAGTGAAAAAAATGAATATTTTAGAAAAAGGAAAAAAAAATTACTAACAACGTACAGACATTCCTGTACATGCATGCATGCATCGAATCAATCGAATTAATCGATCAGTAACCAAAAAAAAGTCCTTTTTTTGAAAATCGCAAGGAAAAACTTTTGCCTTGGAATCTTATTTATTGATTATGAATTTTAAATTGGAACCAAAAAAAAAAATGATTTTAAAAGAAATTTTTGAAAAATAAGAATTTTATTTTTTTGTATGGATAAAAGAAGAAAGAATTTATAATGATAAAACAAAAATTATAAAGTTAAAAAGCCTAAAGTCTATTGAATGAATACTACATTTTGAAAAAAAAACAGTTTTCATTTGGTTTGTGATAGGCAAATTTTTTTATAAAATTTAATAGCCATATGAAAATTCAAGATAAACAATTGAATATATTTGAATTTAGATATGAAAAACATTTGACCACAAGTAAAACCAAATTGATTTCTGGTCATCGACTGTAGAAATAGACGTGATTTAATTGAATATCGTAGTGGAAATTTATTGAAGAATTTTTTTCGTTCCATATTTGACCATTGTGTTCGAGCAATCCAACGATGTATAGATAGCCAACAAATACGATTATATGAAGGTAAATCGGCGATAAGAAAATTAAGACTGCTTATAAGACAGAATATTGCTATTAAGATAAATGTAGAAAGTGTATTCTCCAAATACATCTTGGTTTGATGACTATAAAATAATAAACAAATTACCACCAAAGATTTAGACGTTAATTCGAGAAATAATAATATATCTCGAAGGGTTAAATTGAATTTGTCAGTTTCACTATAGAGATAGACATATTGGTAATGAAATCGATACCAGAATAATTTTTGCTCTCTTCTCGATGATTGAAATGAATTTTCAAATACATACATTGATTTTTTTGATAATTGTTTTAAACGAATGCGAAAAAATTCAATGATAAACACAATGAAACTTATAAACATGAACGAATCGCCAATTATGAAGATACATTGACAAATATATGAGAAAAAAAATATCGATGTCATTAGAAATTTTCTTAAACTGATCTGACCACTATCATATAAATGAAAGGAAAAAAAATTAAACATAATATCAATAGCCAATAAACCGATGGTAAAAATACGATAAGAAATAGTTGAAATGAAACAAGATTTTTGATAAAATTGTATTAAATGATATCGATATTCAGTTGATAATTCATTATCATTATAATGCCAATATTTAATTAGAAATTCATTAATTTTAGATTTATAATGTATAAATTCATTCAAATGATGATAATATAAACATTCACGTAGAAAAAATACAATAATCATTTCGATAAATATAAAATCATTTCTTTTTAAATTAACAATTTCATCATATATTTCAGTACTTATAAAGTAATCATTGAAAGGTGATACAACGCAAATTATTAAAAATAAAAGACTCATCCATACATTGATTACTGGAAAAATAGATCGTTTGATTTTTGAAAATGTCCATGAAATGTTTTGATGTTCATAATCAAAAAGATCATAATCAATTCGTAATGCATGAAATTTAATTGTTTGAAATCCATTTCTAATAAAATGTTTAATTTCAACAATTTTATTGTTGGATTTTTTGAATGGATTGAAAATCATGTTGTTGTAGTTGCTGTTGTTGCAAGTTGGAATGCCAAAAAAAAGATAAAATCAAAATTGTAAAGATTCGAATTTCACAATATATATTCTTGAGGAAATGAACAAAAGTAAAAAAAAAATCCATAGAAACGTATCCAAAATCTATTCTTAGATTTTCAAAAAAAAAATGAAAGAAAAAGAAAGAAAACTTTCGTGATTGAATGAAAAATATGATCATTTTGACAGAAAGACTTTCAAAAAAAAAAACACAAACAAACCTTTTGCATTTCTAATGAATATTACATACACATACATTTCGATAAATCGATTAGTAATAACAAAAAAAATGAAAATAAAAACACCCATACATTTCTCAAGAAAAAAAAACGGAATGGAAAAAAATAGTGATAGTTTCAACTTAATTATAATATATACCGGAATTTTTAAGAAAAAAAATCATTATCGATTATAAATTTTATGAATATTTTTTTTTTAAAAAAAAAGAACTATAGTTTTTTTATTAGGTTTGTGATAGGCAAATTTTTTTATAGAATTTAATGGCCATATGAAAATTCATAATAAACATTTGAATGTATTTGAATTTAGATATGAAAAACAATCGACCACAAGTAAAACCAAATTGATTATGGGTCATCGACTGTAGAAATAGACGTGATTTAAGTGAATATCGGAAGGGCAATCTATTGCNATGTTTCGACACTAATAAAATAATCATTTTGTGGCCATATTACAATAATAAAAAGAAATAATATTATTAACCATCCATTCAATGTAATTAAAATGGCTCGTTTGATCAATGAAAATGTCCAAGAAATATTTTTTTGTTCATAATCAATCAGATCATAATCGATACGTAATGAATGAAATTTGGTTAATTGCAAAATTTGTTTGAAAAAATGTTTAATTTTAACATTTTGATCAGATTGTTCAGATAGATTGATATTCATGATGTTCATTGTTTTTTGGATATCAAAATCATAAATGTCATTCAGACAATATTTATAATGAAAATTTTCATTTCAAACTTTTTGTTGCTGTTAACGTTGCTAAGAAATTTTGATAATAATGAAATTCTTTCAGGATATTTATGTAACAGTTTGTTTTGTTTTGTTTTTCATTTATATCGAAAATCAGTCATGTATTCAGTCCATATCATTAAAGAAATACAAATATATTTGTTTTGTAAAAAAAATTTATTGATTAAAAATTTTAAATTAGAATAAATGATTTATTCATTTTGGATAGATTTTCCTATTCAATTTCAATTAGAAACAAAAAAACAAACAGTTTTCATTTGGTTTGTGATAAGCAAATCTTTTTATAAAATTTAATGGCCATATGAAAATTGAGAATAAATATTTGAATGTATTTGAATTTTGATATGAAAAACAAAAGACCACATGTAAAACCAAATTGATTGTTAGTCATCGACTGTAGAAATAGACGCGATTTAATTGAATATCTTAGTGGAAATCTATTGAGTAATTTTCTTTGTTCCAAATTTAACCATTGCGATCGAGCAATCCAGCGATGTACGGAAAGCCAACAAACGCGATTATATGATGGTATATGAGCTATACGAAAATTAAGAATATTTATCGAAATGAATACTGTCATAAATATTAATGTAATTAATGTATTTTGTATATGCATTTCAGTTTGATGACTATAAAATAATAAACAAATTATGACCAATGATTTAGATAATAATTCAATAAACAATAATATATATCGAAGTGTTAAATTGAATTTATAAGTTTCACTAAAAAGATAGACATAATCGGTATGAAATTGATACCAGAATAATTTTTTATTTCGACAAGATAATCTAAATGAATTTTCAAATATTTTGATTGATTTCAATGATAATTGTTTGAAACGGATTAGAAAAAATTCAATGAAAAATACAATACTGATTAACATTTTGAATGAATCACCAATTATAAATATACAATGACAAGAGTATAATGAAAAAAATATTATTGTCATTATTAATTTCATTAAATTGATTTGATTACATTGATATAGATGAAAAACGAAAACGATTGCAACAAAATAAACGGGAAATATTCCGATGGAAAAAATTCGATATGAAATATTTGCAATAAAATAAGATTTTTGATAGAATCGAATCAAATTATTTCGATATTTGGATAATAATTCACAATCATCATATTGACAATATTTCATTAGAAATTCTGTTATTTTTGATTTATATTGAATTAATTCATTCAAATGATAATAATATAAACATTCACGTGAAATAAATACAATAATTGTTTCAATAACAATAAAATCATTACGTTTTGAATGTACAATTTCATTAAATATTTCAATACTAATTAGATAATCATTTTGTGGCCATATTACAATAATCAAAAGAAATAATATTGTTAACCATACAATCAATGTAATTAAAATGGCTCGTTTAACCGATGAAAATGTCCAAGAAATATTTTGTTGTTCATAATCATTGAGGCTATAATCGATACGTAAAGCATAAAATTTAAATGATTGAAAAATTTGTTGAAAAAAATGTTTAATTTTAACAATTTGATCAGATTGTTCAAATAGATTCATGATGTTCACTTGTTTTTGTTTCTTTTTTGATAACCAAAATCATAAATGTCATAAATTTATATATGATAAATATTGTCATTCAGACAATATTTATATTGAAAATTTTCATTTAAAACTTTTTTGTTTTTGTTTGGTTAACGTTGCTAAGTACTTTTGATAATAATAAAGAAAAGAATATCATCAAATGATTTTAATTTTGAAAAAAAATCACTTACTTTAAACATAAATATATTCTAATGATAAATCGATCGATCAGTAAGAAGAAAAAAAACAATATTTAAAAAAACATAAAATCTATTGCATATATACTTGTCACAAGGAAAATGGAAAGGGAAAAACCAAAACAGTTCATTACCGTACAGTAATCATATTTGTTTTGAAAAATTTGAATTAATGATTTGTTCATTTTGAATAGATTTTCTATATTAGCAAGCAATGACTAATCTAGACAGAATAAAAGTAAACAGTTTTTTATTCGATTTGTGATAAACAAATTTTTTTATAAAATTTAATGGCCATATGAAAATTCATGATAAACATTTGAATGTATTTGAATTTGGATATGAAAAACATACGACCACAAGTAAAACCAAATTGATTGTTGGTCATCGACTGTAGAAATAGACGTGATTTAAATGAATATCGTAGTGGCAAACTNATAATAAACATTTGAATGTATTTGAATTTAGATATGAAAAACATTGGACCACAAGTAAAACCAAATTGATTGTTGGTCATCGACTGTAGAAATAGACGTGATTTAAATGAATATCGTAGTGGCAAACTAGTGATGAATCGTTTTTGTTCCAAATTTAACCATTGTGATCGAGCAATCCAACGATATATAGATAGCCAACATAATCGATTATATGATGGTATATCGGCGATAAGAAAATTGAGACTGCTTATTAGACAGAATAATGCTATGAATATGAATGTGATGAGTGTGTTATGCATATGCATTTTAGTTTGATGACTATAGAATAATAAACAAATTACAACCAAAGATTTGGACATCATTTCGAGAAATAATAATATATCTCGAAGTGTTAAATTAAATTGTTTAGTAGAACTATAGAGATAAACATAATCATAATGGAATTGATACCAGAAAATTTTTTGCTCTCTGTCTGATGATTGAAATGAATTTCCGAATGTATTCATTGATTTAATCAGCAATTGCTTGAAGCGAATGCGAAAAAATTCAATGATAAACACTATGTTGATTAACATCATTAATGAATCACCAATTAAAAAGATGGATCGACAATTGAAAAAGAAGAAAAATATTGCTGATATTAATAATTTAATCAAATTGATTTGACCACACTTGTATAAATGTAAGGAAAAAAAATATGCTGCAAAACTAATGGCCAATATTCCGATAGTGAAAATTCGATAAGAAATAGTGGCAATAAAACGAGATTTTCGATAGAATTTAATGAATTGATTTCGATATTCTGATGACAATTCATTATCATTATAATTACAATTTTTAATGAAAAATTCAGTTAATTTTGATTTATATTTGATTAATTCATTCAAATGATGATAGAATAAACATTCACGTAGAACAAATACTATGATCAATTCAATTGCAATAAAATCATTTCTATTTGAATGAACAATTTTATTGTATGTATCGATACTAATCAGATAATCATTATGAGGCCATATTACTAAACAAATAAGAAATAATATGATTATCCATGTATTCAATGTAATCAAAATGGCACGTATGAACATTGAAAATGTCCAATAAATATTTCTTTGTTCATAATCAAAAAGATCATAATCGATTCGTAATGCATAAAATTTAATTGATTGAAAACATTGCCAAAAAAAATGTTTAATTTCTATAATTTGATCAGATTGTTTAAATGGATTGAAATACATTTTGTTACAAATTGAAATGCCAAAAAAAAAAACTTTTGTCATACAGTATTGACATTCACAATTAATATGAATAAAGTTGGATTGAAAGGAAAAAAGGAAAAACCATTTTCTTTATCGTTCATTCTGAAATAACGTAGCACCAAAATTATTTTTAACATAATACTTTTATATTAAAGAATTCTTTTGAAATGTTATTCTAAAAAGAAAAGGTATCATCAGGTAATTTTTCAATTTTGAAAAAACAATTCTATCATTAACTTTGCACATTTCAAAACCGGATATCGTTCTAATCCAAGAACCTTATACCTCAAATAGTAATCAAATTAACTTTGTACATTTATCATTCATACTTTTGGTAGTGTATTTTAATCAATTAATTGATTGAATTAAAGAAAAAAATGTAGTGATGAACTCANTAATGTAAATAAAATGGCTCGTTTAATTGTTGAAAATGTCCAAGAAATATTTCGTTGTTCATAATCCAAAAACTGATAATCAATACGTATTGCATAAAATTTAATTGATTGAAAAATTTCCATAAAAAAATATTTAATTTTAACATTTGGTTGATTGGATCGTTTTCTAAATAGATTGAAATTCATAATGTTGTTGTTGTTGTTAATTGAATATCCAAATAACGAATGTAATATTTATATACTAATTAAAAAAAGTTGAATTTCTAAATTGTCAACTGCTTTTTTTGGGGCAATAAATAATTTTTTGTCAGTGAAAAAAGAGAGAAAAATTTGGTAATAACTTTTCAGTCATATCAGTTGATTATGAAATCGATCAATGAAACAAGAAGAAAACACACATAATTTATAGCAATAATAATAACATGATTGTTATCAAATTATACTCTCTTTTTTTATCTTGAAAAGAATGCGTATCGAAAAAAAGTGAAAAATTGAATATTTGTTTGTAAAACTTTTTATTATTATTATTATTGATTTAAGAATTTTTAAAATTAATTTTGAAATAAATTTAACCATTTCAAAACCCTTTTTTAAAAGCATAGAATAAATTGAAATTAGTCAGAAAACAAAAATGGTTATAAGTTTTATTCAATTCCCTTCAAGCTATGAATAATCAAAACAATTCAAAAAAGCAAACAGTTTTTTTCATTTGGTTTGTGATAAGCAAATTTTTTTATAGAATTTGATTGCCATATGAAAATTCAGTATAAACATTTGAATGTATTTGAATTTAGATATGAAAAATATTCGACCACAAGTAAAACCAAATTGATTGTTGGTCATTATCTGTAGAAATAGTCGTGGTTTAAGTGAATATCGTAGAGGAAATCTATTGCGATGTTTTTTTCGTTCCTCATTTGACCATTGTAATCGAGCAATCCAACGATGTATGGATAGCCAACATAATCGATTATATGATGGTAAATTAGCTATACGAAAATTGAGAATGTTTATTAAAAAGATCATTGCAATGAGAATGAATGTGGCCATTATGTTTTGAGCATTCATCTTGGTTTGATGACTACAAAATAATAAACAAGTTACGACCAAAGATTTAGAAATCATTTCGAGAAATAATAATACATCTCGAAGTGTTAAGTTGAATAAGTTAGTTTCTTCAAAGAGTTGAATGTATTCTGAATGAAAACGATACCAGAATAATTTTTGTTTTCGTTTTGATGATTTGATTAAATTTTCAAATATTTTCATTGATTTGATTGATAATTGTTTGAATCGAATGCGAAAAAATTCAATAATAAACACAATACAAATTAACGATTTGATTGAATCGCAAACTAAATAGATACATTGACAAATGTATAAGAAAAAACCAATTGCTGACAATATGAATTTAATCAAACTAATCTGACTACATTCATATAAATAAAATGAAAAAATTAATAGAACAAAATGAAGTGACAATAATCCGATGGTAAAAATTCGATTAGAAATAGCCGAGATGAAAAGAAATTTACGATAAAATCGTATCAAATGATATCGATATTCAAATGATAATTTATTATCATCATAATGCCAATATTTAATTAGAAATTCATTTAATTTTGATTTATATTTAATTAATTCATTCAAATGATGATAATATAAACATTCACGTAATGTAAATACAATAATCATTTCTATTACAATGAAATCATTTCTTTTGGAATGAACAATTTTATCATAATCATCGATACTTAACAGATAATCATTACGTGGCCATAATATGAAACAAAAAAGATATAATATGGTTATCCATCCATTTAATACTAAAAAAATGGCACGTTTAACATTTGAAAATGTATAAGAAATATTTTTTTGTTCATAATCCAAAAGATTATAATCAATACGTAATGTATAAAATCGAATTGATTGTGAACAATGTTGAAAAAATGGTTCAATTTCAACATTTTGTTCGTTTGATCGTCTAAATGGATTGAAATTCATAATGTTGTTGTTGTTGTTGTTGATTGAATATCAAAATTATGAATGTCGATATTCACAATATTAGTTCCAATATGAATTTTGAAAAAAACAAATTAGTTATTGTCAATTTCTGAGAATTATTGTTGGGTAACAAATAATTTTTGTCAGTTTTTGTCATGAAAGAAATGAAATTTGTTAAAAACTTTTGTCAGTAATGGAATTTGTTTTTTGTTTTTTTTTTTGTTGTTGTATTGAAAATTATTCCTACCCAGGTCATATCATTAACCTTGTAAAGTACATAGCATTTAGTCAAAATTGAATATTTATAAATGTAAAACTATTTATTGATTTAAGAATTGTAAATTAAAATAAATTCTATCTACTGAATAATATTTATATAAAGTGTTGATTCATTTGGATAGATTTTATATTTTAGCAAGCAATAACTAATCTAGACAAAACAAAAAACAATCAGTTTTTCATTTGTTTTGTGATAGGCAAATTTTTTTATAAAATTTAATGGCCATAAGAAAATTCAAGATAAACATTTGAATGTATTTGAATTTAGATATGAAAAACATACGACCACAAGTAAAACCAAATTGATTTCTGGTCATTGTCTGCAAAAATAGACGTGATTTAAGTGAATATCGTAATGGCATTCTATTGTGGTGTTTATTTCGTTCCACATTTGACCATTGTGATCGAGCAATCCAACGATGTATGGATAGCCAACANGCAAATTTTTTTATAAAATTTAATGGCCATAAGAAAATTCAAGATAAACATTTGAATGTATTTGAATTTAGATATGAAAAACATTCGACCACAAGTAAAACCAAATTGATTGTTCGTCATCGTTTGTAAAAATAGACGTGATTTGAAAGAATATCGTAGTGGCAAGTTATTCCTGGATTTTTTTCGTTCCACCTTTGACCATTGTGATCGAGCAATCCAACGATGTATGGATAGCCAACAAACACGATTATAAGATGGTAAATGAGCTATACGGAAATTGAGGCTACTTATTAGACAGAATAATGCTATGAATATTAATGTTATGAGTGTATTATGCATGTGCATTTTAATTTGATGACTATAATATAATAAACAAATTACAACTAAGGATTTAGACATCATTTCAAGGAATAATAATACATCTCGAAGTATTAGGTTGAATTTGTGTGTTTCACTATAGAGATAGACATATTGGGAATGGAATCGATACCAGAATAATTTCCGCTGTCGATTTGATAATTGAAATGAATTTTCAAATATATTCACCGATTTTATTGATAATTGTTTAAAACGAATGCGAAAAAATTCAATGATAAACACTATTCCTATTAACAATATAAATGAATCACAAATAATAAAAATGCATTGACAAATAAATGAAAAAAAACCAATCGATGACATAATGAATTTAATCAAATTAATCTGACCACAATGGTATGAATAGTAGACGAAAAAATTTGATATAAAATTAATAGCCAATAATCCGATGGTAAAAATTCGATAAGAATTAGTTGAAATGAAACGTAATTTTCTATATAATTGAATTAAATAATATCGATATTCGTATGATAATTCACTATCATCATAATGCCAATAATTCATTGCAAATTCATTGATTTTTAATTTATGTTTGATTAATTCAAACAAATGATTATAGAATAAACATTCACGTAAAATAAATACAATGATCATTTCAATTGCTAGAAAATCATTTCTTTTCGAAAGTAAAAATTCATCAAATGTTTCAATACTTATAAGATAATCATTGTTAGGCCATATTACAGAGCAAAGTAAATATATTATGGTTATCCATACATTTATTGAAGTTAAAATAGCTCGTTTAATACGTAAAAATGTCCAAGAAATATTTCGTTGTTCATAATCAATCAAATCATAATCAATTCGTAAAGCATAAAATTTCATTGATTGAAAAATTTCTCTAAAAAAATATTTAATTTCGATATTCTGATTAAAATTCATGATGATAATGTTGTTGTTTATTGGAAAGCAAAATACTAAATGACATTTACAATTAATGTTGTAACCAAGAAGTTAATTTCATCATATCATTTATAAACGTAAAAAAACCTTGTATCCAGTCATTATGGTCATAATTAGTTGCTAAGAACATTTGATAATGATGGAATTCTTTAGTTTGTTTTTGTTTTTGTGTTTTGGTTCATTATAACGAAAAAAAAACATTAACAAGTAAAGAAAAATATCATCAGGTAATTTTAAGTTGAAAAACAAAACAATTAAATATTATTTAAAATACGAATACTGTGTATTGTGCTATTCGACAGAATAATTAATTAAAAATTATAAAAACAATATAATTAATTAAAACAATGAAAGAAAAACATGTTATCCATTACAAATTTTGGAAGAAAAATAAAAATCGAAACAGTTCTAATATTTGTTTTAATTTTTATATTTATTGATCAAGTATTTTAAATCAAAATGAATTTTTTTTCTATTTTAACAAGCAATGACTAATCAAGAGTAATGTAAAAGCGTGCTTTTATTTATTTTGTGATAAGCAAATTTTTTTATAAAATTTAATGGCCATATGAAAATTCATGATAAACATTTGAATGTATTTGAATTTGGATATGAAAAACATACGACCACAAGTAAAACCAAATTGATTTCTGGTCATCGTCTGTAGAAATAGACGTGATTTAAGTGAATAACGCAATGGTAATCTATTGCGGTGTTTTTTTCGTTCCACATTTGACCATTGTGATCGAGCAATCCAACGATGAACGGATAGCCAACAATTTCGATTATATGAAGGTAAATGAGCGATAAGGAAATTCAGACTACTTAACAAACAGAATATTAATAAGAATGTTAATGTGACGACTGTATTCTGTAAATACATCTTAGTTTGATGACTATAATATAATAGACAAATTACGAAAAAAGATTTGGACATCGTTTCAAAGAATAATAATATATATCGTAATATTTGATTAAATTGATCAGTTTCACTATAGAGATGAACATAATCAGAATGAAATCGATACCAGAATAATTTTCGTTTTCGTTTTGATGATTTGATTAAATTTTCAAATAAATTCATTGATTTGATTGATAATTGTTTGAAACGTATGCGAAAAAATTCAATCATAAACACCATACCAATTAACAATAACAATGAATCATAAACAATATAAATACATTGACCATTAAATGATAAAAAAAATATTGCTGATATTATTAATTTGATCAGATTAATCTGACCACTTGCATATAAAGTGAAGATAAAATAATTTCCTATAATAATTATAATCAATATACCGATTGTAAAAATTCGATTCGAAATAGTGATTATAAAGCGCAATTTTTGATAAAATTGAATCAAATGATTTCGATATTCAGTTGATAATTCATTATCATTATAATGACAATATTTCATTAAAAAATTATTCCATTTAAATTTATATTGTAAAAATTCAAACAAATGATAATAATATAAACATTCACGTAATATAAATACAATAATCATTTCGATAATTAAAAAATCATTTCTTTTTGATTTGAAAATCATATCGATTGTATCCTATGAATAATCTATTAGTAATAAGCTTGTATAATGTTACTTATTTTCTTTATAAGTTGATATCCATACATTCAATGTGATTAAAACGGCTCGCTTTATCTTGGAAAATGTCCAAGAAATATTTCTCTGTTCATAATCAACAGGATTATAATCAATTCGTAAAGCATTAAATTTGATTGATTGAAAAAAATTTCGAAAAATATATTTAATTTCCATTATTTGATATGGTCGTTTGAATAGATTGAAATTCATAATGATAATGATTACTGCTGTTGATTAGAAAGCCAACAAAAAATAAACTGAATGTCATATGTAATACCATTACCAATGACAATTAATGTTAAAATGATATTAATAACAAAAAACAAAAAAGAAAAACATTCATTCCAAAGAAAGCGGTGTAAAGTTATTTTAGGTTGCTAAGATCATCATTTGACAATCATGAAATTTTCATAATTATTTTTTTCAAAGAAAAAAAAATGACATTATCATCAAAGAAGAAGAACCACTATTAGTGTTGCGTAATTTTAGTTAGCAGAAAAACAATTATAAAAATCACTAATTTCATACCAGTACACAAGTAGTGTGTTATGTTAGGTGAATTAATTATAGTGATCGAAAATATTCAAAACCGGAAAATATTATTGTTTTTAAATTTTCTATTTTTATTGATTAAATCCTTAAAAAAAATTAAAATGGATTCTTTGTTCATTTGTTTTGTGATAGGCAAATTTTTTTATAAAATTTAATGGCCATATGAAAATTCATAATAAACATTTGAATGTATTTGAATTTAGATATGAAAAACATACGACCACAAGTAAAACCAAATNAAATACAATAATCATTTCGATAATTAAAAAATCATTTCTTTTTGATTTGAAAATCATATCGATTGTATCGATACTTATTAGATAATCATTATTCGAACATATTACAATGAATAAAAGAAATATTATTGATATCCATACATTCAATGTAATAAAAACGGCTCGCTTTATCTGAAAAAATGTCCAAGAAATATTTCTCTGTTCATAATCAACAAGATTATAATCAATTCGTAAAGCATTAAATTTGATTGATTGAAAAAATTTTCGAAAAATATATTTAATTTCCATTATTTGATCTGGTCGTTTGAATAAATTGAAATTCATAATGATAATGATGCTGCTGTTGATTGGAAAGCCAAAAAAAAAACTGAATGTCATATATAATACCATATTACCATTGACAATTAATGATGAAAAGATATTAATAACAAAAAAACAAAAGAAAAAACATTTATTCCAAAGAAAGCAAGTTATCAAGTTATTTTAGGTTGCTAAGATCATTTGACAATCATAAAATTTTCATACTTATTTTTTTCAAAGAAAAAAAAATAACATTATCATCAAAGAAGAAAAAAACTACTATTAGTGTAACGTAATTTTAGTTAGCAGAAAAACAATTTTTAAAAATCACTAATTTCATACACAAGTAGTGTAATAAGTTACGTAAATTGATTAATAAAATTATATTAATTATAGTGATAAAAACATTCAAAACCGGAAAATATTATTGTTTTTAAATTTTCTTTTTATTGATTAAATATTTTTTCAAAAAAAATTAAAATGGATTCTTTGTTCATTTGGTTTGTGATAAGCAAATTTTTTTATAAAATTTAATTGCAATATGAAAATTCATAATAAACATTTGAATGTATTTGAATTTAGATATGAAAAACATACGACCACAAGTAAAACCAAATTGATTNTTGTTCATTTGGTTTGTGATAAGCAAATTTTTTTATAAAATTTAATTGCAATATGAAAATTCATAATAAACATTTGAATGTATTTGAATTTCGATATGAAAAACATACGACCACAAGTAAAACCAAATTGATTGTTGGTCATCGATTGTAAAAATAGACGTGACTTAAGTGAATATCGTAGGGGCAATCTATTGATAAATTGTTTTCGTTGCAAATTTAACCATTGTGATCGAGCAATCCAACGATGTATTGATAACCAACAAATACGATTATATGATGGTATTTGAGCTATACGAAAATTAAGAATATTTATCAAAAAGAACATTGCTATGATTATTAGTATGACGATAGTATTTTGTATATGCATTTTTAATTGATGACTATAATATAATAAACAAATTATAATTAAAGATTTAGACATTAATTCAATAATAAATAATATATATCGAAGTATTGAATTAAATTTTTCAGTTTCACTATAGAGATAGACATAATCGGAATGGAATCGATACCAGAATAATTTTCGTTTACGGTTTGATGATTGAAATGAATTTTTAAATAAATTTATCGATTCAATTGATAATTGTTTGAAACGAATGAGAAAAAATTCAATACCAATCTTAATAATGATTAACATCATTAATGATTCACCAATTAGAAAAATTGATTGACAAATTAATAAAAAGAAAAATATTTCTGATAATATAAATTGAATCAAATTAATCTGAGAACATTCATATAAATAATATGTGAAATGACTGAAAATAAAATAAATAACTAATGCTCCGATGGTGAAAAATCGATAAGAAATAGTAGCAATAAAACGAGTTTTTCGATAATATTGAGCCAAATAATATCGAAATTCAAATGATAATTCATTATCATCATAATGCCAATATCTGATTAGAAAATCATTAATTTTTGATTTATATTTAATTAATTCATTCAAATGATGAAAGAATAAACATTCACGTAGAATAAATACAATGATCAATTCAATTGCAATAAAATCATTTCTTTTTGAATGAAAAATTTCATCAAATATATCAAAACTTATCAGATAATCATTGTGAGGATATATTACATAAATCAGAAGAAATATTATACTTATCCATCCATTTAATATTAAAAAAATAGCACGCTTAATCTTTGAAAATGTCCAACAAATATTTTGATGTTCATAATCAACAAGATCATAATCAATTCGTAAAGCATAAAATTTAACCGATAAAAAACTTTCTCTAATAAAATGTTTAATTTCAACAATTTCATTCATTTGTCCAAATAGATTGGAAAAATTCATGCTGCTGATGATGATGATGATTGTGGTTGGAATGACAAAAATTGAATATCATATGAAATTGACATTCACCATAATTGTTCTGCAGATCATCAACCAAACAAAACGAAAACAATTAAGCAACAAAAAAAGCACATTTTTCCAAAGTCATTGTTAGTGAAAAAAACTGACAATTGAAAAGAAAAATTCAATGTAAAGTTGAAATGGCATGCTTCATTTTTGGAAAATGTCCAAGAAATTGTTCGATATTGATGATCGACTTAGTCATGATGATGATGATTGTAGTTGTTATGACAAAAAAAAATAAAATTAAATTATCAAATGAACATTGACATTCACAATAATTGTTCAAAACAAAAAAACCGAAAAACAATTCCGAGGACATTCTTCCCAAGTTATTCCAGTGACTAATGAATTGTTTCATTTTCAAAAACTTTTGACAATAATGGAACTCTTGAAACCATATCACACGAAAAAAATAATGTTGAAGAAAAAATGAATGAATGAAAAAAAAACGAATTCTAATGAAGCGATCATCATGGGATTTTAATTGATAAGACAATTTATTTATGAAAAGAATGTTCTAACCTTGTAAATGGATTGCTAAAATAATAAATTAATCGATTAGTTTTTTTTTAAAAAAAAAAGTATTTTTAGTTTAGCACAGTATCCATTAATAATGATAATTATGAAACTGAGTTCAATATTTGAGTTTTATAAATCTTTTTTTTTATTGATTCGAAATTTTTAAAAAAATTTAAAAATTATAATAAATTAATTTGTTCATTTTCAAGAAAAAAAAAGATTCTTTTATTCGATTTTAACATCAAATGATCTACAAACAAACAAACAAACAAAAAGCAAACAGTTTTTCATTTGGTTTGTGATAAGCAAATTTTTTTATAAAATTTAATGGCCATATGAAAATTCAATATAAACATTTGAATGCATTTGAATTTAGAAATGAAATACATACGACCACAAGTAAAACCAAATTGATTTCTGGTCATCGTCTGTAGAAATAGACGTGATTTAAGTGAATATCGTAGTGGTAATCTATTGAGGATTAGTTTCACATTTGACCATTGTGATCGAGCAATCCAACGATGTATGGATAGACAACATAATCGATTATATGACGGTAAATTAGCTATACGGAAATTGAGAATGTTGGTTAAACAGAATAATACTATGAATGTGAATGTGGTAAATGTATTCTGTAAATACATCTTTGTTTGATGACTATAAAATAATAAACAAATTATAACAAAAGATTTAGACATCATTTCAATAAATAATAATACATATCGAAGTGTTTGATTGAATCGATCAGTTTCTCTATAAATATATACATATTCGGAATGAAATCGATACCAGAATAATTTTCGTTCTCTATGTGATAATAGAAATGAATTTTCAAATATATTCTTTGATTTTTCTGATAATTGTTTGATACAAATACGAAAAAATTCAATACCAAACACAATAATGATAAACGAATAGAATATATCGCCAACCATAAAAATGCATTGACAAATATATGAGAAAAAAAATATTACTGACAATATTAATTTTATCAATTGAATTTGACCACATTCATATAGATAGAAGGCAAAAAAATCTGCCATAAAATTAATAGCCAATAATCCGATAATGAAAATACGATGAAAAATAATTGACATACAATATAATTTTTGATAAAATTTCATCAAATAATATCGATATTTTGATGATATTTTATTATGATCATAATTTCCAAGTTTGATAAAAAAATCATTAATTTTCGATTTATAATGTATAAATTCATTCAAATGAAAATAATATAAACATTCACGTAATGTAAATGCTATAATCATTTCGATTGCTATTAAATCATTTCTTTTTGCATGAACAATTTCATCAAATGTATCAATACTTATCAAATAATCATTATGTGGCCATATTACACAAATTAGAATACTTGATATTGTTATCCATGCATTTATTCCAATCAAAATAGCTCGCTTTACCTTAGAAAATGACCAAGAAATATTTCGATTTTCATAATCAATAAGATCGTAATCGATTCGTAAAGCATAAATTCTGATTAATTGAAAACATTGCATAAAAATATCTTTTAATTCGATATTTTGATTGAATCGTTTAAATAGATTGAAATTCATTATATGAAAATGATGTTGATGGTTGAAAGACAAAAAACTAAATGTCATTTGAAAGTGTACATTCACAATATTATTGTTGAAACAAAACAAAAACAAACAAATTCTTATCGCTGATATTTCGAAACAATATTTGTCAAGTTTTTGACAATAAGAGAATTTACTGTTTCTATTGTTCATTTAACATTAATTTAAGTTCAAATTGTTTATTTAGAAACTATATTCATTCTTTTTTTCCTGATAATGGTAGAATTTGAAAAATAAGAAGGAAGGAGTATTGTTGTTATTACAAAGAAAAGAATAACATTTGATTAAAAACTAAACAAGAATTTGCTAATTTTATGCATTTGTATTGTAAAGTGAGTTAAATTATCACAATAATAATATGATATTTTTTTAAAATTATAATTATTTTAAATAGAAAATGTTCAATAAGTGTTTTAAATTTTTGGAATTTTAAATTACAATGACAAAATAAAAGACAAATGAATTATTCATTTGTTTTGTGATAAGCAAATTTTTTTATAGAATTTAATGGCCATATGAAAATTCAAGATAAACATTTGAATGTATTTGAATTTAGATATGAAAAACATNCCAACAAATATTTTGATGTTCATAATCAACAAGATCATAATCAATACGTAAAGCATAAAATTTAATTGTTTGAAATCCATTTCTAATAAAATGTTTAATTTCAACAATTTCATTGCTTGTGTATTGTTTGAAAGGATTCATGGTTGCTTGGAATGCGAGAAACAAAAAAGATAATCTGAAAAAAAATTCACTTTAGTTTCACCATATATTATATTATATTCAAAATATTTGAGGAAATAGAAAAAAAAATTCCATAGAAACGTTATGTCCAAAATATAATTCTTGAATTTTTTTAAAAAGAAAAACAAATTTATGAATGAATGAAAGTAAAGTAAAGAAGAATATTGAAATAAAAAAAACAAAACCATCATTAATTTTGTACGTTTTCTTTTATATGTCTGTCTGTTTGGGTACGTACATTCAAATATTCATATGATCAATTGATCGATCAATGACAATAGAGAGAGAAAAAAAAGAAAGAAACATTAGTACCTGATAGAATGATATTTATATCATAAATTTTTTCCCTGAAAACTATTAGATGGAAAAAATACTTTGGAGACAGTCTATAATATATGCCGGAAAAGTTTTTTTTTATTGATTATGAATTTCATGAATATTTTTTCCTAACTCTCTTTTGGAATGATTTGGAAAACAAAATGAATTATAAAGTTTTTCAAAAAAAAAATTTCAAAGAAAAAGAATTATCTGCATGATAATATTTATTGAATTTAGTGGCATAAATTTTATTTGGAAAAAATTTCTATTTAATTTTGACAAAACGAAATTACAGAAAACAAATATGCAATCAGTTTTTTCATTTGGTTTGTGATAAGCAAATTTTTTTATAGAATTTGATAGCCATATGAAAATTCATGATAAACATTTGAATGTATTTGAATTTTGATATGAAAAACATACGACCACAAGTAAAACCAAATTGATTATGGGTCATCGACTGTAGAAATAGACGTGATTTAAGTGAATATCGGAAGGGCAATCTATTGCGATGTTTTTTTCGTTCCACATTTGACCATTGTGATCGAGCAATCCAACGATGTATAGATAGCCAACATAATCGATTATATGATGGTAAATGAGCTATACGAAAATTAAGAATATTTATCGAAATAAATATTGTCATAAATATTAATATGGTTATTATGATTTGCATACACATCGTGGTTTGATGACTATAAAATAATAAACAATTTATGATCAAAGATTTAGACATCATTTCGAGAAATAATAATACATCTCGAAGTGTTTGATTAAATTGTTGAGTTTCTTTGAAAAGATGAACGTATTCCAAATGAAATTGATACCAGAATAATTTTCGTTGTCGATTTGATGATTGATTTAAATTTTCAAATATATTCATTGATTTTATTGATAATTGTTTGAATCGGATACGAAAAAAATCAATACCAAAAACAATGCAAATCAATAACATGAATGAATCCAAAACAATAAAGATACATTGACAAACATAAAAGAAAAAACATATTGATGATATTATAAATTTAATTAAATTAATTTCACCACATTTATATAAATTATATGAAAAATAATCGAAAATGATTATAATAGCAAATAATCCGATACGAAAAATTTGATAAGAAATAATAGCGATAAAATAAGATTTTTTATAGAATTGAATTAAATAATTTTGATATTCAGTTGATAATTCATTATCATTATAATGCCAATATTTCATTAGAAATTCAGTTAATTTTGATTTATATTTAATTAATTCAAACAAATGATGATAGAAAAGACATTCACGTAAAACAAATACAATAATCATTTCTATTGTTATGAAATCATTTCTTTTTGATTGAAAAATTTTATCGAATATATCGAAACTCATTAGATAATCATTATGTGGTAATATTATCCAACATAAAAGAAATGATATGGTTATCCATACATTCAATGTAATTAAAATGGCACGTTTAATTGATGAAAATTTCCAAGAAATATTTCTTTGTTCATAATCAATAAGATTATAATCGATACGTAATTCATATATTTTCATTAATTGAAAAATTTGTCTAAAAATATATTTTATTTCAAACATTTTTTTGATTTTTGTATTTTGTTTAATATGAATTGAAATTGAATGTTGTTTATTGTTTGAAATCACAAAATAAAATAAAATGTCATATATATGATATTGATATTCTAACTAAATAATTGTTTTAAACGTAATGAATATAATTTTTTCATTACGTTTAAATTGTCAAAACTTTTGTAATGGACAGACTTTTGTTTCTAATTGTTAACACTATTTTGAAAGTAAATGAATTTTTATTTTCTTTTACTCAATTCAAAAAAAAGAAGAACTTTTATTATTGTAATCGTTGTTGAAAAATTATTGACAAAAATAAAAATCATTAACACAGAAATATAACAAGAGGGTTTTAATTAAATGAAACCAGAACAATTAAGAAAAATGATAACCTTGAACATTCCTATCCTATACAGAATAAATGATTTGAAAACTATTTCTACAAGAATGGAAAATCTATACAAAACAAAAGTTTTCATTTGTTTTGTGACAAGCAAATTTTTTTATAGAATTTAATGGCCATATGAAAATTCAAGATAAACATTTGAATGTATTTGAATTTAGATATGAAAAACATACGACCACAAGTAAAACCAAATAGATTGTTGGTCATCGACTGCAGAAATAGACGTGATTTAAATGAATATCGTAGTGGCAAGTTATTCTTGGGTTTTTTTCGTTTCAAATTTAACCATTGTGATCGAGCAATCCAACGATGTATAGATAGCCAACAAATACGATTATATGATGGTAAATTAGCTATGCGAAAATTAAGAATATTTATCGAAATAAATATTGTTATAAATATTAATGTAATTAATGTATTTTGCATATGCATTTTTATCTGATGACTATAAAATAATAAACAAATTACAGCCGAAGATTTGGATACTAATTCAGTAAATAATAATATCGAACAAAGTGTTAAATTAAATTGATCAATTTCGCTATAAAGATTTACATATTCTTGATGAAATTGATTCCAGAACAGTTTTCTTTTTTTATCGGATAATTGTATAGAATTTTTTTCAAATAAATTCATTGATTTCAATGATAATTGTTTAAAACGAATACGAAAAAATTCAATAATAAATACAATAAAATTTATCATAATAAATGAATCACCAATAATATAGATACATTGACAAATGGTTAAGAAAAAAAATATTGTTGACATTAGAAATTTTATCAAATTAATTTGATCGCATTCATATAAATGATAGGAAAAATAACCGAAAATAAAAATGATTCCCAATAATCCGATGGTAAAAATACGATAAGAAATAATGGCTATCAGGCGAGATTTTTGATAAAATTGAATCAAATGATTTCGAAATTCTGATAATAATTCATTATCATCATAATGCCAATATTTAATTAAAAAATCATTAATTTTTGATTTATAATTAATAAATTGTAATAAATGTTTATAATATAAATATTCACGTAATATAAATACAATAATTAATTCGATTACAATAAAATTACCATTATTTAGATGAAGAATTTTATTATATATATCGATACTAATTAGATAATCATTTTTTGACCATATTATCCAACAAAGTAAATATAGAATGGTTATCCAACCATTCATTGTAATCAAAATAGATTGTTTGATGGTTGAAAATGACCAAGAAATATTTCTCTGTTCATAATCATTAAGGTTATAATTGATACGTAAATTAAAAAATTTTAATGATTGAAAACCTTGTCGGAAAAAATATCTAATTTTTATATTTTCATTTGATTGTTTGAATGGATTCATGTTGCTGAGGTTTGTTTGGTTCGGTTGAAAAGCAAAAAATGAAATGTTAACAAAATGAAATTTCTCAATTTTCATGATTTTGTTTTTGTTTACTTTTGTTCAAAAAATTGCAAAATAAAATCAAAAACAATATCACCAGGTAATCACAAGCCCGGTGTGTACATTTAAAAAAAACAAATCGATCGATTTAAATGGCGAAAATAACTTAATGGAAAAAATTTGAAACCTTCAAATCAGATTTGTTTTTGTACAAAATTTTTTTTTTGCATATATAAAAAAAACGATAAAGAAAAAAATCCAGTCTGAGAAAAGCAAAGCAAAGCAAAAAAAGAAGAAGATACATTTCATTGAATGTTATGAAACCAAACCAAACCAAAGAAAAAAAAATTATAACCCAAACTACAATCAAAAAATACAAACAACAACAACTGCGAATCAAAAGAATGTCGAGACTTTATACAAACAGATAAAAATAAAACTGATAATTTTAATTCATAAAAAAAAAAATAAAATTGATGAATCAAGTGTTTATCTATGTTTGAAAACAGGTAAATCAAAATTTGTAACGGCAAAATACAATACAAACAAACGATGATTGTAAAAGAAATTTCCAAAAAAAAAAAAATATTGAAAATTTCCCATCGTTTTTTTTTCGTTACAATTTTTCATTTTCTGATTATCAAACCAAAGAGGATAATAACCGCAGATTCGGAAATGTCCTATTATCTCACCAGAAAAAAAAACCCAAAAAATTTCTTTAACCGTTTTTTTTTCTATTCTTTGTTGAAAAAAGAAAAGAAACGTCAATAACCTTCCCATTTTGTTTTCGGTTTATAAATCAAGTAAATAAGAAAATTTTTATCAAATGAAAAAAAAGTTTATGTTTATTTTTATTTATTTATTATTTGGAAAATACAAGAAAAAAGATGATTTTTACTATTATTAATTTATGATTAGTAAAATGTAATTTGTAATTTTTGTAAATTAAACTGATGATGACGGTGATGATGAATTTTTCTTCGTTCAATTATAGATCGAAAAAGATGAGAAAAAAAATTGATTTTTCTTCGTTCGTTCGTTCGTTGTTATGGTGATGATTGACGAAAGAGAACCAAAAAATTTAAATTCTTTAACTATTAAAAAAAACAAAACAAAAGAAGAAAAGAAAACTTTTTTGACAATCCCCATTTGAAATGATTAATTTCGGTTTTGTTTTCTAGGTTCTTCTAGAACCGGAAAAACAAAAGAAAAGAAAAAGTCCTGAGATTAGCTTGTTTTACAACGTTAATTTTTTGTGAAAAAAACAACAAAAAAAAAATAAGAAAAAATGAATGATGTTTGATGATTACTAAAACTAAATAGTGGGGATAAATGTGGTGATCTTGACACAAAAATTGAATGATGGTAGTAGTAAAAATATTAAGTGAAAAATGACTAAAAATATATTTTCATTGTGTTGTTTTAAGGTTACAGTTAACTAAAATACAATAAATAGTTGAAAATTTAGTGTTTTTTTTGGATTCTGTTTTGTTTTTTTGGAAAAAATGTTGGCAGAAAAAAATGTGGAATTTCAAAAATCAAACAAACATTAATAATGACCGGGGTAATCTATGGAGTTTGGGTAATATATTTATAGAAATTAGTTATTAATTAACGTAAAATAATTACAAATAAAAAAAAAATATTTATGATTTTATAATGACAGAATATTTTTGTAAAGAGAGAGAGAGACTAGTAAGTGCATATAATAATAATAAATTTGCATTGTAATTATAAAAAAATGTTATTTGTATTTTTTTGTAATAAAAATTTTATAAAACAATTGCTTTCAGTGTGTGTGTGTGTGTTGTGAGAGCTAGATAATTTTTTATTGAAATGTCAATAGAAAAAACAACATTTCATTACAAATTGATTGAAAAAAAAACAAAAATTATCAATATAAGTTCATGGTTGCTGGATGGATGGATGGATGGTTTGCTGAGCAAATTTTTTTTTTGGGAATTTTTCCATTGGAACGATGATTTGATTTTGGATGAATTTTTATTTTAAAAAAAAACAGTGACAAGTATCGATTTTAGACAAATTAACTGTGTGTGTGTGTGTGAGGTGTGCAGGTGCATGATTGGATTCCATTTAAATGGAATTTGATTTTCACAAATCAAACCAACCACAAAAGAAAATATAAAACAGCAAAAAAAAAACAGAAAATTCAGTGAATGACAATAGATGTGAAGAGACAAAGTGCATTTTATGCTCAAAAAAAAACAAACAAACAAACAGAATTTTTTAAAAAAAAGCAAAACTTTGGTTTCATTGATTTTGTGTTTGTGTGTGTGTGTTGCATGACCAGTGTGATTTTGAACCATTTAAAAAAAATGAATAGACAACAATCATTAGATGATGAATCGAAAGAGAGAGAGAGAGAGAAAAATTTCAACAGGAAAAGAAAAGATTTCATTTCGTAAAATCAAAAGATAACCACCATCCAACGAGATTAATAAACGGCTTAAAAATATTAATTGCATAAGCTTAATTTTTGTTTCAAAACAAATATATAATTGATGATGGAATAACAATGAATATATCTGGAATTCAAGATTTTTTTTTGTGTGTTCAATGTTGTATAAGAATGAAGAAAAAAAGATGTGCAAGTTTGAAAAAAATATAATTTTTTAAAAAAGAAAAAATAAAACTTGATGATGAATAAATGAATGATTTTTTTATAAGAAAAAAAAACAAAACACAAATTAAGAGAGAGAGAGAGAAAGAGAAAAAAATTATCACAAAAATCAAAAACAAAGTAATGATTTTCAAATAAAAAATAATTAAGAAAATTTGTAATTAATTTTCAATTGAAATTTCGGTTTGTTGTTTGTTGTGTTGGCAGCCAAAATCGATTTACAACCGAAAAAAATTGTTGAATTCATTTTATACTGATTTTTTTCTCTGTATTTTTTGTTTGTTTTGTTTTAGAAATATAAATCTTCACCTAATCCTTCATCATGATGATGATGATCATTATCATCGATTTCATTATCGATATCTATAGTTAATTGTGATATATGGCCAGAACGATCTCGAATATTTGTTGTTGTTGTTGATGATAAGGATGATGGTGGTCTATTCTCTTGATCAATTTCATCATCATTATCATCTGCATCATCAGTTTCATTATCTTCATCTAAATCAATATTGATCAATGATGATGGTGCTGGTTGTTGTTGTTGTTCTTGAATAAAAATCGGTATATTTTCACGATCTTCATGATAATGTTCTAAATAACTAAGCAAATCAGTTAAAGAAGATTGTGTTTTAAAGCTAATATCATCTATCCAATGTGTAGTTGTTGTTGTTGTTGTCATTTGACTACCATTAGAACTATTATCATTAGTTGTATCATGTAATAATGAACATGAACGTTGATAATGCTGAGGAATGTAACAATTATCATGTTGTTGTTGTTGACGATTATTATTAAGAAGTAATTGTTTAGCACAAGGTACCTGGGCGAATGTAGTGTGAATATAATTCTGTTGATTATGATGATTTGAATTGGCTATTGTAAAAGTCGTGTTGTTGATTGTGGAATGCTGCTGTTGTTGTTGTTGTTGTTGATTATAGCAATGTGCATTCATTGTTGCAGGTAAATTTGTATCGATCGATATTGTTATATTGGCTGCGGTCGTTGACAATGGTGTGGGAACCACAATCATATCATTTGTATTAATAATCATTTGAGATGATGATGATGATGAAATTTCCGGTAAATTCATGTCCATTAAAACATCATCAACAATAGCCATTGAATTTCGTTCCGATGATATGGATGATGATTCATTGCGGATCAAATTATCGATTAGTTTTGCATAGCTTTTGATTAAATGCTTTATTTTGATTGTGGGAATTTTTTTTTTTGGAAACAAACAAAAATGAATGATTATTTTATTAGTCAAAATAAAAAAAAATCAAAAAAAAATCTTACCGAATCAATTCCAATCTGTTTTTCTACAGCCAATAAGAATTGTTCACATAAATCATTTGGAATTATTGAATGTTGATCATTTGATTTTGATTGAATAAAGTGTCGGCCATTATTATTATTATTATTGCTGTTATTGTCGTTGGTGGTAATCATATAATTTGTTGTTGATATTGACTGTTCCGGCGTCATTTTCATCATCGTTGTCGATGTTTTTATGTCGGTCGGTGATTTCATTAATGTTCGATTAATATCAAGTCCTTGTAATGCTGTGGCCACACATGCAGATGCAATCACCGATGGTTCAACAGATACAAATGTTATATCTGTGTATAAATGATAAAAATAAAAAGAATATTTATTATATGAATGAAAATGAATTTGTGTTTCTCTTTTTCTCTCTAACTCTTAGTCACGAGAATTTTTTACAAATTATGTTTAGACTATACATTAACATTCTATTACCAAATGATTGATACACTCTTCTCTATGTAAATGTGTGTGATTGTAAGTAAATGGGTACCAATATTTCAATGTCACGCTCGTGTTTTTCGGCTGTTTCTCTTATATATGTAAGAATGTTATTTAGTTTTTGTCCATATGAAGAAGATTTGTATTTGAAATAGTGAAAAAAAAGTAAAGTAAAAACTAATAATCAATCAGAATAACTAATTATACGCAAATCAACTATAGTAAAAGCAAAATAAAGTGTAAATTTACATTTAGCAAAGAAAAAAAAACGGAACTATGGAACATTTGTTGTTGTTGCGGTACTTTTTTTCTCCTTAAGATTTTTCTTAAAATTATTATTCATCATCATCACCATAAATTAATAGCCGTTAAGCCCATTCAATTTGATTATTGAACAAAACAGAATTATCCGAATTTCGTTAAACAAGAAAAACAACGGAAGAAAACGAGGTCAAATTTAGAAATTATCATCATTTTATAATGATTATTATGATGATTGTCGAGACATGGTAACCCAGTTATTCTCAACAAATTCCAATACAAATCATCAGACAAATTAAATTTCGAAAAAATAATCATCAAATTAATTTAATTAAATCAAGTTTAATAATGATAATCAATATTAGTTTGTCCTGATTAGTTTCATTTTTTTTCATCATTCAAAATATTCATTGAGAAAAAAATGCATCATACTTTTACGACCTAAAAAAATAAAAATCACATGATCTACACACATGTCTGGTGTCGGACTTTTAAATCGACCTTCAAGATAGTGAAAAAAAATTCAATATTTACATGATGGGAAAAACTAAACTCAAAGACCCAGGACTTTTAAATCTGGTACATACCTAATACTTTTAAAAAAACAACTTTTACATAACCTTTTGTCTGAGAGAGAGAGAGAGAGAGAGAGAGAGAGAGAGAGAGAGAGAAAAAACGAAAATCACGAGACGGAAAACAGTGAACCCTGAAAAAACATTGAAAAAGCGATGGAAATTTTTCATTCAAAAGATTTCATTTTTCGCGCCCATCTGTTCCTGTTTGTTTCACTTAATATTTTATATTTGGGTATGACTTATCCGGTCGATCACAGTGTTATTTTGTTGCATCTACCCGAATAAATAAATAAAACGGGATACCGATACCTTTATGGAAAATTTTTTTCCCTATTTGAAATGAACAATAGAAAATTTTTTCGATCAAAACGGCGGGAACATCTGCGCGCGTTTTTTTCTCACTCTTTACTTATTATTGTGTTTCTGGAACAATTTCCGTTTTTTTTCTTTGTTGAAAACACAATAGAGATTAGTTTTCAAGATGGCGTCAAACGACAAAAAAAACTTGTGAAAACTTTAAATCAAAAAAATCAAAGGACGGAAAAATGTCGTTTACATTTGACTACAGATGGCAGATCTAATAAAAAAAAAGCTGAAATAACAACAGAGAAAATAGCAACAGACAAATGAATCAAATTACCCCTAAGGTCTATAAAAGTCTCACCTGCTTTGGGTACGGTTGAAAAATAACTACTGGTTTTAGTTTGGTTTCTGTGGATCGATCAAGATGATTGATCAATCAATTGAACGAATGAATGAATGGATTGATCTCATTCATCCAGGTTAAAGCCAGAGAAAAAAAATGAAAAGGATCAAGATAATCATCTAATTCTTGAACATTGTGTAACCGAAAAAACAAAATCTAATCAAGTCTAGATCCAACCAACCAGCCACCCACACATAAAATATATATTTTTTTTCTCTCTCTTTATTCCAATCAAATCGATACATGTTTTTTTTGCTACATTTGGTTGGTCAAAATCGATAACAGCAGCAGCAGCTGTTTCGAAAAAATAATCACATCATCCAAACACACAGTAGTAAATGGAATTAATAACATTATCCATTGATGATGATTGGTGAATGATAAAAAACAACCATCAGCAGAAATCATCAACAGTAAAAAAAAGGTGTTGAAAACGGTAGTCAATCAGCAAAACTAACTGTAAAACTTACTGATACAAGAGACACACACAGGATGCAAGTTTTGAAAGATAATTTTTCTGTAATCATTTTTTTATACCATGAAAAAAATAACAATTTAGATTTGGACAATGTATTTATGGATGGGTGTGCAGGATCAGTGCCCAAATGATAATGATAAATAAAAAAAAGTCTAATTAAACTAATTGTAACGAGCCTAGAGTAGAAAGAAAATATCATCAAAAATGATGATGGTAATAAATTGTCAGATGTCATCAAAAAAAAGTTTTTTTTTTACTAAAGGTAATTATATGGATGGACAATGATTATAGAAATATATTCCAATGAAATCCGGACATTAATTAGTAATGTTAAGTATGAAGTATTTTTCCGTTGGTAAAACACAACAAAAAAAATGTTTGCGTGTGTGTGCTATATGATGATCATCATTAATCTATCAACCATTCACAAAAAATACTACGATCAAATATCATTCCAATGAATATGGATGGATATAGAAATACCCCTCTAAACAAGCAGCTGTATAAATGATGTTTCAGTTCAATTCGATTGAACAATAATCATCAAATAGGATTATTTCAAGCCAAAAAAAAACAACCAACTAACATTGACATCCAAATGACCCAGTGAATTTTCAAATGAAAAAAAAACAAAATTTTAATGAATAAAAACACAAATACCAAACGACAAGCCTACTATTTTAAATTTTCTGAAACAAAAATATAGTAGAAATCGAAGAGTAAAAAAACATTTCTTTCACTGTTTTTATATCAATTTAGAAAACAAAAATTGAATCTTTTTCTTTTGAACCCAAAAGAAAAAAATTGGATGCAAAGCAAATCATTCGACTGTAACTATTTGATTGTAAAAAAAAAGAAAATATTTTCGTAAGGCAAAACACATCACATTCAACACATGTGTAGACTATTTGGGCGCCGGAAATATATTACGCAATAACAAAAAATAATAGATTTAATCGCATCCTTTTCATCAATCGATCAGCAAACAAAAAAACTCAGGATCTCCCCTTATTCCACATAGCCAAAAAAAAAACAAAGTAAGTATTTTCCAAATCGAAATACACAATCAACAAGTTAAGTTATGTAATATTTATTGTTATTGTTGTTGTTGTTGGGGGTATTTTTCCATTTTTGAAGAAATATTTAGGTCAAGACCCTGGTCCTGATGGAACAATGATGATGATGATGATGATCCAAGGACATGATGTCCTCAGGACATACGATATGTGTTCGACTCATTCAAACCAACTGCTAAAACTAGTTGATGATGATTATGTAAAACATAAGCTTATCATCATTTGAACATCAAATTTCTTATTATTATTTCTTAAAAGGTCATAGGTTATATGGCCGTTATATCCGTTAATATATAGTAATAGTAATAGTAGTAAGTAGCCACGTGTTGGACACCTTATTTATTTATTTATTTTCTCCTGTTTTAATGACTGATAGTTTGATGACCTATCAAAGACATCAGGACATCGAAAAAAAATGGACAGATGAATTAAAGGTAAATCTCAGTGTTTGTTTGATTCAGATTCACTGTCATTAATGTTTGGTTAGTTTTGGAGCAGATGAAATCAAATGTTGTCATTACGCATACAAACAAATACATACACAGTGAGGTCATTCTGGAAAAAATCAAAGTCAGAAAAAAGCCATAAAAAGACCAAAGACCTAGCACGTTATTTTGAACGTACTTTGTTCATCATCATCATCAAAACCGATTGTTATAACAACAAGAAAAAAAAACAAACGGTTTTTTTATCAATGTTGTTGTTGTTGTCGGTGGTGGTGGTGGTGGTTGAATGTTAGACAAACAAACCAAACCAATTGTTATACATTCAAAAAAAAAATGCCAAGAGTTTTTCTTATTAATTTTCGGTTCTTGTTATAAAAAAAACCACACAACAAGAAATACAAGAATGAAAATCAAGCTAATGTAAACATTGAAAAAAAATGGTTGCAAAAAAAACTATGACGATAATGATATAAACATATTTTTTTCAAGGTTTTTCATTAGATAAATGAATTGAATTCTTTGTATAAATCTTTGGTCGATGATGATGTTTTATGATACAAACACATACATGATACAAAGATGAGCTAACAATATTGGGATTCAGGTAATTGAATAACTGGATAGTTTTTGGAATCATTATTATTATTATTCATCATACAAATTTCAATCATTTTTTTCATAATAATTTTGTCGGTTAATGGTTACCTTGGATGCAAGCAAAAAAAAATTAATGGTTACCACAAAATGCAGAAAAAAAATTCAGATAGGAAAAAATCATGACCAATTTGATCATAGACCTATAGCCAGGTAGGTTATGAAAACGGATGGATAGAATGGATAAAAATAAATAAATATAAATAAATAGACATAATCATTGTCGATAAGCCTTTGACCTCTTAAATGATTCACGCGAATATGTATACATACACACATTGATTGTTTTGTTTGAAACAAACAAACAAAAATTTTTTCAATCAATGTATTTCGTTTGTTCAGGTCAACCATGGTCAATTTGCATGACCCTGTTGAAAATGACACACAACGATACAAATTGACCCAAGGCTGTTGTTAATAATGGTTGTACAGAGATTTTCATTTTTGAATACAACCAGAAAAAAAAATCCGAATACACACGACTCAATTATCCTTATGGGTAGTGAGTATGAATAGAGAAAAAAAGCTCAATTTCATTGAATGAATGATTGTATCGGAAATTTGAAAATTGAAAAATGAGACAATTTAAATCAATCAATCAATTGATCGATCGATCAATACTTTTTCTAAATTACTTGCTTATCCGATTGGAATAAATA